AGATATATTTAAGTGGATAATTTTTGTAATGTAAAAGGCACTAGTGTACAATGTTTTGAAGACACTGGCAAAACGGCTAGCTCAACTCGCGAGCCCACATGCACTCATGAACATGTTATGTAAACGTTTTTACACAACCTTCCTCACAACATGTGTCTGGTGTAGCATTAAGTAAGAACAAAAAGCATAATGGGTTAGCGGGATAATATAGCTAGTCTGTACAGTAGCTTTGCATATTAAGCATAAGATTACTCATATATATTTGTTTTTTTTTTTTTATTGAGGGATCAGCCGTGACGTGCGCAGACATTCCACTTTTCGGTGCATAAAGGTTACTAGTACAAGCTGCCAAGTGTGTCACCTTAATCCTTTGCTATAATTATGTACTATAACAAATATTCAAACAAACAAATAATTTACCCACTACTTTCTAAAGCTTGAGAAATAATCCCATTACTGTGTCTCAGCCAAACCTGCCCCACATATATTTGTCGGACAACATGAGATGCAAGGAATGCAGGTATGATGTGATACAACATTGCAAAATTCATTTCGCAAATCCCTACCTCATCCAGGACAGTCCAGTTAGACATTCTGTAAATTTTAAACAACAGTCTTCCATCGAAACCCGACTCTTTAGGCAACTAAAATATCCAACATAATTCAAGGTGTCACAAGCTGCTTTGCAGCACTTCACACCGTTCTGCACCAGCGATATGTGCAAGAACGGAGGCGATGCTCGGCTTACCAGGAATCAGATTGCGTCGAATTTGTTGGTGCAACATGTACGAGATGGATACTACAGTCGCGCAAACTGATCAGCATGAAAGTTACGTATGTGGCATTCGTAACGACTTTAAGTTGCATATGCTGGCGTCTTCTTGGTCAGCAGTTGTTCTGCCCTTCTTGTTCCTCTCGTGATCGAACACTTATTATTATGTACCAGTTGCCATGCTTTCATTCACTTGAACAAAGCATAAACTTAATGCCACCGCTGCTTCGCTGTTTGCAATCCAGTCTGGCTTGTATAATGGTCACCTGCACCTTTCGTGAGTCACTGAACACCGGTACTAAGTTGGCCTGTCAATTATTAGAGCTCCTATTTATATTTGGTCAGAAAAGGTTGGCTACCAAGAATGACACGATGCGTGACTGACCCAGCAGCTTACACTAGTAATGAGTCTGATGACGCTATTCATGTGGCACTTTTTTTTTGTTGTTGTTGTTCTTTAGTCTCACTTTAGTTGTGCTTGGTACAGTTATACTCGGCGACAACTTTTCTTGGCACTGAAGGGAAAGCTACGAAGGCGGAGCTTCAGCACATGTCGCAAGCACTACGCGAAGTAGTCCGTCTTGGCGCGCGTCTCGTAACGCTATGAGAAGTGACGGGGGACGCATTATCAGCGTTTCATAGACGCAGCCACCGCTTAGCGTTAGAGGTGCACGTAAAAAGGCGGAACTTTCTCGCGCGTTCAAAAAACGCGAGAACGCAACGAATAAACTGAAGTATATACGACTATCTTAATGATGGGAGCTGCGTCCAGTGTCTAATAGCTCCACGTAGAAAATAAAAGGGGGAACTTCAATATTTCACGGTGAACATACGGACGCCGTTGTGGAACTACATTTTCTGGCGGTAGGACGACCGTGATTTGGCTCTGTAGCCTTAGCTCCGATGCCAAGAAAAGTTGGTGCCGAGTATAGCGATAACCAAGCTCGTTTTTTTATGTTTTTCTAAGTGTAAAATAAAAATATGAACACAAATTAAAAGCAACGCTTATGTTTAATTTCACACCCAACGTATGCTAGTTTTGGTATTGCAGATGTTTGAAACATTTTGGCTTGTGTTGTTTAGTTTGCAGTATTGTTTGCATTCAAGAAACACAATGTCATAGTTCTCTGAAGAATGTCCACTAGCGAAGCTGACATTTTGCACGTACACTTTCTTAAAGCTCAAGAGGTCGTGCCTGTGATCTTTTTTCCCAAAACATAATGTAATCTTTACTTATCAATAAAGTACGTGTGTATTTCAGGCATAGTACAGATGTTCAACATTTGTTGTCACAATATTTAAGCTCATTAATAGATTGCCGATGTCAAAGCCTGACATTTAAAGTGAAATGTGGTGTTTGGTCACAAGGACGCCAAGCGAGCATGCGGTAGGTGAAAGGTAGAATCGAATGGCCCTACCGCGCAAGTGGCAAGTTTAAGGAGAAGCATGGGAAGTAAGCCGAGAGAGTTTTCGTGTTGGTCTTTTAGGCTGTTTACGTGTTCAGGGGAGCCTGCGGTACCAGTGAAATACGAGACATGGACTGATAAACACAAAAAAGATGGCAGACTGGCGAGATGCAAAGGTGTAGAAGCGTTTCTATGGGAAAAATGTGGATTCCCGCTGGCAGGAAACTTAATTATACTCAATGTGGGCATCGAGACCAAGAAATAAAAAGAAATGAGGAGAGCTTCAATTAGACAGGTACTTATTAATTAAAGACAAAAAAGATAAACAATGAAAACATATAAAGGAAGGCTCATAAATAAATAAAGCAAGAAGAGTTGTACAGTAACCCGGAAGATAGTTGTATAATACCGCAGTAGAAAAAAGGTTTATCCAAGATGAGTTGTGTCTAGCATGTAAAACCGGTGGGGAGATGACAACACACTACTTTTTTACAAAATGTCACAGTATATACCGAGAAGTCCGGAAGAAAATGTGTGCTTAGGCTGCCCGATACGCCACGAATTTAAAACCACTGAAGAGAGGAGACACATTCAACCAGAGAACCTAGGCAGCAGTCATCAGGAAGATCTCAAAACGACGTGGAATTATCAAAATTGGTACATGCATACTCAACCTACGAGTGGATAATACCCATATTCGCTTATTATGCCCAGTAATTAGGATGCCCGCTTATTATGCCCAGCAATTAGTTGTGTGCCAAGGAGTCATCACGTTTGTGCCATCGCAAGGGCGAAATAACACATAGTGAAGTAACGGAGATGTGATCACCATAAATTTGCTTTGCAATGACAGCCAGCAAATGTCTTCAAGATCATCGCGAACCTAGCAGACTCCAGGCGTGATATTCGCCTTCGCCCTATTCTGAAACTTCGCGCAGAAGGAGCTCAAAAACCGTTCCGTTATTAAAGTCAAAAACCGAAAATCCAAATGTCAACGAGCCAGGCACGAAGTGCGAACAAAAAATGATCAATCGAATTTCGCGCACGTCAAGAAATGTCAAGGGTACAAATGCAAGGCGACTCGAAAACGCCTTGCGGCCAACGCGAAAACTGCATGCCGCCAGCTGAGCTATGCGAAAGTACGGATAAGCATAAATTTCTATATCCGCACGCGCTCGAACGCACACGCGCAGTCACGCAAGACAACGTTTCAGACGAGTCGGAACGCGAAGTGGCTGTATGTCGGGTACTTACGTACCTACATACAACGCAAGCATAGGACGGATGACGGACGGTAACCAAAACACAGACCCCCAAATACCAATCAAGTGTCCACGCGTCGGGGCGCCGCACATGACAGGGAAAAGAGCAGGGAAACACTTTACGGACTTCACGCGAGCGTTATCTAACGGCACCAATGCACACACGGAGCGCAGCAAGCCGACGAGCCGCACCAAACAGGTACGGACCTGCCCACTCACGACACGGCGACCAACACCCAAAAAACGCGCTCGTCTCTCGAAAGGAGACTTCCGTGTCATAAGGTCACAAACGCGTCTTCACGTCAAGCCCCGCGAAACGAAAGCGCCGTTTCCGGACGAGAATCGGTCGTTGCGGGGCAGCGAGCCCGCCGAATCTGCAACCTCCAATCTAGGGCGTGCGAGATGCCGCGCTGGGCGTTGCAGCACGCGCACGCAACAAACAAGTCCCGTCCGTAGTCGACGGAGCGCTTCGCTTAGCCCTAGCGCCCGTAGCAGACGGTGAAAGTAACGACATCGACGGGCGCACGCGCGCGCGTATCCGCTAGACACGGAGCGGCCTATCGCCGTCCTATCACTCACCGTAGTCGTTGCCGGTGGTTCGGGTACTCCATTGGCCATCGACGACAGGATATCGGCGACCGAAAGCCGCAGATCGGCCGACTCGCTCGTCGCGCAGTACATGGCGACGACACCTTCGACACAGACCACGATTGAATAGCTGCTGGATGCGTGCTAGCGTTCGTGGGCGGGCGCAAGCAGACGACGACTACGGAGCCAAGCCGCTCGTGGTGTTCCCGCTGTGGCACCAAACGAAAGGATGAGTCATCCGCACTGCCCGAAGGTTGAGGGAAGCCCTGCCGAAATTCTGACCAAGCGGTGACATCATCCGCTCACCTAAAAATAAACCAAAACGAAACGCGTAATGCCACGTGACCAACTCTTACCACTTTCGTCACCGAAACCTGCGTTGACGCAACACGCATCATCAGATTTTGTTGCGCGCCTTTTTACGAAGGTTTGACAGTTTCGCACTCAATTTGTAACGGTTTAACCAAGGCACCGGTTTAACACTACGTTGAAGACACTAGATAAGCTAATATTTGGCAATGTTATACCGCGTGCTCAAAAACTCTCGATCGCGAGACTCTAGCAGCCTTTACGAGCGCGTTCTCGCGTCCATGCCCATAAAAGGCGCGCTATGAATCACGTCGCGACGTCACCGAAACGTGCCGTCGACGCTGCGTTTCGTGGGAACGTTACAGGCGTTACCGAGAAGCGGGGAGGGTTCTGGCCGGTTCCGAGGGGAGTGGTTTAGAGTTGGTTCGGCCCATCGCACGGGGAGAGCAGCGGGCCAAGGCCTGCGAAGGCCACAGGAAAGAGTTGCGGCTTGTGTATTCGCTACTTCTCGGAACTCGCGCCGCAAATTTCTTAGCAGAGACAAGGATCAATCGGTGCGCCACTGGAACGGCACTTGCCTCACAACGTTCCGACGGTTTGCACGCATTCTGGAAAGTTGTTGCGCGATCGTTATGAATGAATGACTCACCCTTACGCACGCCGTTAGTAGTAGTAGCACATGGTCAAAACGTTTTATTACTTCCCATTCGGACAACGAACACACACAATACAACGAGCGGCGTACTTGCCGCGTGCGATATACATTTTTTCTAATGACTCATCTGCATCAATGTCCGGCACAAGAGACAACACAGACTGACTCTGCATCAGTTATATAAAAAATATAAATTATTCCCTCTAATGTATGTACAATTGAAAAAAAAAACTGTAAATGCAGGAAGACCCATAGTTGTGGGACTTTCATTCTACACGAGCAATAAAAACACAAAATATTGCCTTAATACACGTAAATGAAGTAATAAATACTACAGTTTGTGGCCACATTGCAATTCGCACAAAAACAGTTATATCTTGTGTGACCAATTGACAAAAAAAAAATACATGCATTTGGTGTACATTTATGTGACAGTGCTGAGTGCAATTAAAATTAATGTGTTATGTACCTGCCTCTGTCATTGAACACTTTCTCATGAATTCCTGCGTGTTGCAGGAGGAACTCTCACAATAAAGTAGGGCACTGTCATAACAAGTGCAAACTTTCAGCTGGTAGTTCCAATCAAAGGCATATGGATTTGTACGCACAAATGAACATACTTAATTAGCATACCTTTTCAAACAGAGCAGTAATAAATGCCACCAATGAGATTATAGCTACTTCTCTTCCAAGTTTATTATCAGCCCTCACCTTCGGTTCATGTTAACAGACCAGTGAATGTTCATAAAAGTTTCAACATTGATATGTTCATTAAATGGGTCATCAGTTTAGACAAACGAATGCACTTAATTAGCGTCCATTTTGAAATGGAACGGTAAAAAGTGCCACCGATTTAATAACTGCAACTTTTTCTTAAGAGTTTATTATCAGTTCTCACTTTTGGTTGCGTGTTAACAGGCCAGAGAATGTTACAAACACTTAAAACATTTTCTTCACCTTCCCTGGTCTCGCATCACCAATAATACAAGCCTTCGTTTACCGCTTGTCTGAGCAGATTTAATCCAAGGCCAATTTTGTCTACATTGTTTCTTGTATGGATGACGCGACATAACGACAAAACCTCTTGACCAAAAATATGCCGCGCACCTGCATGTTCCCATCAGTCAGTTTGGCGACATGTGCTACAAAGATGCAACTACGCATTGTTTTGTTCTGACAACACTGGCAGCCAACCGGCAAGGGCTATGGCAAGTCGTGTTGCCCAGAATGATGGAACACACGAATAATAGATTCCAAGAGCCTGAACTATCCTTAGCGCACGCGGCATACTTCGGTAGGGTATGTCAGCATTACAGGCGCTGACTAATGTTGCTGGACACTTGCATTTTCTTAAGAGAAACGAGCACTCAACCAAGACGTTTTGCCGTGTAACTTATTGCCATCATCACAGTGTGCTCTCTGTTTTATTGTAATGTTTTTATTCCTACACTGCTAACTCATAGCACCGTTGTATCAATAGCCTTTTTTTTTTTTATTTTCCTCATGTAAACTGTAACAGTGCATAACATTTCATAATAGCTAAACTACACAAGTTTGCAGAAAATACCTTGTGTGAATAATCACTTATTAAAAATTGTGCCTTTTGTGTTCTTGTTTTTACTAATGCTAATTTAACTAATTAATTTTAGGGCTGCACTTACAATTATTCACTCTAGATTATACTGCTGTTTATGCATATCAGGTAGCAAAAATCGGTGTTTGTACTGCCTCCTTGCAGAACGACTAATCCGAGGTCTATAAGGTACCATTAAATAAGTAAATAAAATAAATAACAGAACTACCCCAGATGCCTTCTCTGGTCAGCTGTCAACTTCAGCGACAGAAAAATAATGATGAGCCTCTGCGTAGTACACTTCGTGGAGTTCGTTTGCGGGAAAAGGCAGTGATAATGAAATAAGTATGCCTTCGTTAAATTTTCTGTCTTTGTCCCATTTCTTGCTTTTCGCAGCAGAAAGTGCTCGAAAATGGCCGCGAATTTCGATGAAAATGCCGGTTGAAAGTTTGCACCTGTGTTGCCCAGTACCTCGCTTCCTCCCTTCCACACATCTCGCGCAAACAACCCAATGAACCGGGTGCAGCTGTGACAGTGGCGAGTATTAGTTGAAACACAACTGGAACTTTTCGATTTCCTCGAACTCCGCCGCCATCTTGTCTGCCCACTCCTCGAACTCCTTCTGGAAAGGATAAAAAAAAACAGAAGGAACAAGTCTTTTGTTAGGAGCAGAACATCTGAACATGCATCTGATTGTATGGTGGAAAACAGTGACAAGGATCAGGCCGGATTTCGTGACTACTTTGCACGAGGTGAAGATTTGCGAGATAGACGAAGAGAGGGGGGGGAGTCAGAACTCGAGATAACCAGCTAAAGTTTGACCCAGCCAAATGATGACCATATATGAGACAAGAGATAAAAACAAATGGCTGACGCTTGATTTATGGGGTGGAAGTACTGTATTTCAATGAAAGCACAATGCGAAGATTCTCCTGGACTGAAACTCAAATTCGCGTCGAAAGATTCCGAGCTGGTCTACACAAATCTACAGCTTCTGGATACAATGGCAACTATGTTCCATGGCAACTATGCTCCAAAGTTTGTGTTTACAGATGGTATAGGGTACAGTAGCGGTATCAAGTGTTTTTGCCGTACATGTACAGTGACAGATTGCAGTCCCGCTGTATTGTTCGTATGAAATTTGCGTCGTAATGACAATGTATGCCTACTGAGAGGTGCCGACAGCTACTAGGGCTTACGAGAGGCATTCAAAATGATTGTGCTACTTTATAGAACAGATAAACAGAAGTGATTTATAGCGTTAATGCAACAGGCAACAGTCCTTCGTGGTTTTGGTTTTGCCATGCGCTTTCAATGAAGGCACGCGAAACTTTATTTTTATTTTTATCAACACTTCCCTTGCACAGGTGGCAGAAGTTGATTTTCATCATTATTCGCGAAGCACTTGCTTGTTCATCACTGGCACTCACGAGGTAATCTACATCTCCCTGATCTTACCAAGTTTACTTTGATGCACGATTGCCGGCTCAACTCTTCGCTACAAGAAGACGGCGTCAAGTAAGGTAGTTGCTGCCATTGTTGACAAGGTTGTTTAGTACAAACTTGCTTATACGTTTTTACACAACTACTGTTTGTGCTGTCCAGTCCCGACAAGGAATATACAGACAGCTTTGTATCAGAATCCCCTTTTCTTGTGTTGGTCTCGCAACATCTTTGCCCCATATGCTGCGAACTGACACTACGGTAAATGCCAAGAAGGTACAGTTGGGCTCAATAGGAGTTGCAACATGAGGGGGCGATGTTAAAGAGGCCCCAGGCCTCAACATTTACAGTGGCGAATGTTAAATTGGTTTATAGAATACTAGTAACTAAAGCAGCGTCTACTTCAGTAATTTTCCCTGCGTCGATGCCACATTGCAGTGTTGGCGCCACTTTGAGCACGGGCAACACGTTGCAACTCGTATTAGACGCGACTGTACGTCAACGAGTCTTCCTAGGTGAATTGCCACAGGGCCACCAAGGAGTTTGTAAAGTGTCTCGTTCTGGCGTGGGTGCAAAGGGGAATGCTAGACTTCCATTACGAACCGTAAGTCTTTAAAAGGACACTAAAAAGCAAAACCATTTTTCGCGTATGAGTAAAGCACAGTTTTCACAATCCCAAAAACACCACTCTTACCACCACACGACAGTTTGCAAGTTAGAAGAGGCGCGAAAAGCAAAGGCGAGTCGAGACGCCGACTTTAGATTTCCGCACCAAACACAGTGAGGCCATATATTTTGATGAGTATGTAGCTTCTAATCGATAAACATAAAATACATTGTCATCTGTGGGCGCCATAGACATGGCATACGAAGTTTCAAAAAATTTCATCGAGTCAATGTCATGAATATACGAAAGGTACATTTTGAAACTTTCAATGTCATGCGCGAACATTTTCCCACGAAATTCCTAAATGAGATTAACTTTCATTTTCTCTAGTAATAATGAACTTCTGATAATAAAACTTATAGCATCTGAGTTCTGAGAGTGCAGTCTGTCCATCTAAACCAAGCCATAGTTTCTCTTTATAGTGTTCCTGAACGAACTCTTCCGAGGTAGAGCTCTGTGTGATCATTCAGGGAAACATTTCTTGGCTACCGCATTAATTTAAAATGTTCAATTTCTTTACCGTCTCTCAAGGAATGCATAGGAGATAAAAGAAGCAAATTATTTCATCATGAATCTGTACCAACCAGCTCAGCATTCTGTCATTCAAAGTAAAGACAGTTGCTTTCAAGGGTGCCTTTTCCTTGCCTCTGATTCTGTGTGTAATTCCTACACTGTTTTTCAGAAACATTACAGGCTATTTTAGGAGCAGGTAAAACAGCACCTGCACCACATGACCCACTTACATTATTCTCTTTCTGAGCCTTAGGCTTGGGTGCCCTGGTCTTCTTGACCGGTGGCTCTTCGAGCAGCTCAAAGAAGTTCTCTTGGTCTTCTTCTGTGCGATCGGAGACGTCCGGGTCTTCAAACAGCCTGACGGCAATCCTTGCAGGCCTTTCCCCGCGGGAGTACGTTCGCCTGACTTTCTGGACTGACAGCTCGGGGCTGTCAACATGTCGCATACCCTGTGAAAGATTGAACCAACATGTCAGAATACTACATCCAGTCCTCACAAAGAAGGACCATTGGCAATGTATTGCAAAAGCGAATTTACTTCAAGAAAGAGAAAAGAGAAAAAATGACCGCAGTTTCCCTAGTGGGAACACTGGTTAGCATGCGGAGCATATATGTTGAACTGCGATAAATGTGGTTTGTAATTTACGACATGCGTGTGTGTTATGAGTGAACACGAGTGAACACGCACGCACGTATGCTGCGAAAGACGATGTTTATTGATGAGACGCTTTGGGTATTTTGAGCAAGATTGCTTTATGGTCCGTAAAGTGAAGGGTGAGTGGGTCTGGTCGCAGCGGTCGCAGGTCGAAATTTGCAAAGACGTGGTCGATACACGACCCGCGAACCGTGGTCGGATGATGTTTGCCGTCGTGCGTTGCTCGTTTCAGCGAGTGCCGCGACTCTATGTAGTCGACCTTGATAACGTCGAAGTTGAAGTCGCCAACTATCACAAAGGGTCGTCGTTGCGGTCGTTGTTTCAGGTATTCTTCCACGGCTTCGTCGACATACTTCTCCACGGCGGCACGCGATGGGTTGGGCGCGAGGTACATCGACGTATTTCACACGATACCTCGGCGTCTTTCACGCGATAACTGGCCCTCGTCCGACGCCGTTCGCAATTGCCAGCAGCATACATTTTCACCAGCGACATCGGACGTGGCGCGCCCGCACAAACCAACTGACGAAGGGCGGCGCGCCCAGTACTCTGATACTTATAGCGAGCGCCGGATCGGCCTGTGCTTCTTAGCATAGAGCTGGCGCGCGTAAAACTAAAGGTCGCGCGGCACGCGGAAGGGAGAAGCAAGCGGAGGGCGCGCTGTGTTGAGAGAAGGAGGGGAGGCTGCGGACGGCGACGGCGCATGACTAGCCCCTAGTATAACATGCGCCGCATGTGAAAACATTCCAGGCCTGCGCAGAACACACAGCACAGTCACAGTGAAAGCTTGAAGACCAGTTTTTAATTTGATAGCCCGTGGGAAACTCTCCAGGGGCAACAACTGTTACTGTGGTTACACTTGCAAGGTACCCTCAGCACCATTTATTGCAATTTTCTACGCATTGGGAAATGGTTCATCGTTCGACAGAAAAGCGAGGTACCCACTGCGCGCCTGTAAGGCATCATGTGCCGATGCGTAAGGCGTCATGCTGTGACTGAGGATGACGACGAATTATGGCTGAACCCAGTGTAATGAGTGGGAAGCTCTACTAACCACCTCACTCGTTAAACAATTATCGTTGTGCGATGCCTGGTTGATATGTTGCTCTTTGACCACGCTGTATTGCATCTGTTCACCCGACTCTTTGCCCGGAGTGACACGTGTGTAGAGCCGGGGGGAATTTCAAGCACAGGCTCAGTGGTAGAGAACTCGGCTGCCTGGCACAGGGCCTGCATACAAGTCCCACTCGGACCTTTGTCATTTTTTTTCTTTTTCATTGTGTGCGATAAATATATGAGAATCAGTAAGAGGCTGCCGCAAAATCGAGCTCCACGTCTTCGCGTCCTTTATAGGACATCCAGAGAACATGATTTAGCAGCACCTTTCCAGTGCTTCATCAGACTAGCCCCGTAACAATATGCCTAGGGATCCCCTGCAACCTTGTTTCTGTTTTTCACTTAAAAATATTTAAAAAAATAGTCTAGAAATATATTTTAAATATTCGATTTGCACTCCCATTTCAATATCAGATTCACTTCGCACCCAAAATTTTGCTATTCGCACAGCTCCACAAAAATACATAAAACCAATGGAGTGTGCAACAGTGCCAAAAACACTCGCCCAGCAATGAAAAGCATAAACATCCTACTAATGAGCGATTCCTGTAAACTTCGCCAGCTTTTTTTTCCCAGCATGGCGCTTTCCCCAGACGTTTCAACAATTAGCTCGACAATTTACTGCACGCTCCGACACTGTTCTCTAGGATCCCATATTGAGGAGATTAGGTACGTAGGTTTGGACAACAAACCAATCATAACCTCAAGTTCTGAATTCCATGTCTGTTATATCATTTTCATCTTCATTATCGTCAATTTCAGCCTATTTTCATGTCCGCTGCAGAACGAAGGCCCCTACCAACGAGCCCCAATTTGATATATCCTGTGCACGCTGGTTCCATTTTGTGACTGCAAAATGCAATCTTTCTGATTTAGTCACTCCATCTACTACTACATATCCCATCCCTCGGTATCCATTCCGTAGCCTCACTTAGAATGGCCACCTCGAAAGCCCCTTTTCGAAACCGTAAGGCTAGCTTTCCGGCAGCTCAAGTAGCCCAACTGATGTCAGCTAGTCACTTCTGCAAACGACGTGTCCAAGCGCAGTTTGCTTGCGCCAAGACGCAGAAAACCCAGACTCTGCGCTCTCAAAGTGAACACGCGTAAAAGACAAGCCCCTGCACATGCAACTACGTCCGCCCCCTCCACTCGAAGCACAACAGCTAGGTGTTGCCACTGGTTGGGAGAAGGTACAGTACTCACGGATTCAAATGCGACACCAAAATTTTGAGCTCATCAGGGCTGGTATTCGCAATTTGTCAACATTACCCCAACAGGTTGCCAAAAATTAGTTTTCTAAAGATATTTTCCGCTCTGACCTACGCGCTCCGAGTCAAAATTACTCTGATATTTTATGAACTGAGGACAGTGGAAACACTTGATTGATTTGTAGGGTTTAACGTCCCGAAACCACCATATATATGTGGAAACACTCAAACCTCATTATAACTAAGTTGCATATTACACAAATATAAGCTTGTTATATTTGAAAATTTTTTATAAAGGTATATTCTTTACACTATATCTCTTGCAAGGCTATTCCACATTTGCTTCGTTATAATATATATTTTTTTTGTAGCGAGGTTTCAGAGTACGTGCATTACTTAGCTCTAAATTGCCCTGTTTCGATCCACGTATACAGTACATCTGGGCAACGTGCAAAAAGTTATGAGCGCGAGGCAGCACATGTGCGCAGTACCAAAAGGGTCTAATGTGCGTTTCGTTGTTTCGTACGAAAAGCAGGTTCCCAGAGAGTACATGTTTGCCATTCACTTGTGAAATAATGCACATACCCGGCGGCTTCGTGGTGGTGAAGAGCTTGTGCGCGACTCCCGGCTCGATGCCATGGTCGTGTCAAACAGGTGTGAGCATGCATCAGCACTGCAACCTAGATCAAATGAACCGTCGTCAGGTGCTGGCTCTTCTGGCCGTGTCACTGCAACAAGACAAAATGAAACCATGCCCGTTTACAACGGGAAAGTATGCGAGAATCAAAAGCGAACGAGCGACAACCCTGTGATTTGCAGATGCCCACCATTTACTCTGGTAAAACAACAATTCAAGAACAAATTTGTGTGAAGTTTCCTATCATGTCACACACAGGCACTTCCACTAACACACACAAAAAAAAAAAAGAATAGCATTTGTCTAGGCCCAACTTCCGTGGAATGGAGCCTAGAGTTCAAACAAATCAGCATTGTTGTAAACAAATAACAAAGCAAATTTGATTCTCAAATTAGGTCATATTTTGCCTGCCTGGTCACCCATTCAGACGCACATGGCAGCAATACTGCAGCAAGTAGTACTATCAATGGGTTAATCCCCCAGTTAATTAAAGGTTTGTATCGACTGTAGTATGTTCTAGCACACGAAAAAACACAGACAGAGAAAAACAATACAGGCACTAACTTGCAGCAATGCTTCTTCCAGAAAAAGGTAACCATATATATAGGCAACATTGTATTTCAATCACCACGAGGACATGTATTTTGCAAATTGACATATCCTTACGTAGGTAAACGAACTTCTTACACCAAAGGGCAATCGACGGTTTATAAATACTGTTATCTGCCAGCCTATCAATCATTTCAGTCTCGATTATTTCTCGGGTCAGCCAACCTCTGCTCGTACCGACAATTGACCACTCATGAAAAATCGGCATGCACATGATAGGGACATCACTTGCACTGTAAAAACACCCTTTGTTTTGTTTCTAAACACATTGTTTTTCTTTCACATAGTAGCGGTTTTTCTTTAAACATTCATTCATGCGCCGCCCACTTTGACCCACATAATTTTCGCCACATGTCAATGGAAGCTTGTACACACTGCACCAATGCACTCTATAAACCAATTTTTATGCTTCATTTTGCATTCCTGCTTGTTCGATGAGACAGGTCTGGTTAGTCTCCACAGACTGCGCAATTTTTTGGGAGCGGAAAACGCTACATTCGTATATCCGCGTGGTAACCCGTGGATATACGATGTGACTGCGACTTTTCTCGCATCAGCCAAGAACTGTCTGCCGCGAGTGTTTTCTGATAAGCTAAAATTGAGAAAACCTCCGCTACACTGACAAGCACATGCGTAGGGTAACCTGCGGACTGAAGACGGCCGATTCGTTTGTTGAAATTTTCGCTCGTGCACTCGGGACATGACTTGGGTAGGGCACTGAGCAAACAAGTCTTCCCTATTCCCCCCTTCAGCAACTTAGACTACCGACTGATATGGAAGCAGTGGCTTTTTGGCGTGAAGGTCGCAACTCCAGTGGACGCCTTTGTCAGGAAATAAAAGCCTGATTTCCAGAGAGCGAATACTGCCGCCCGCTGCAATTCGTGATACAACTAGAAGGGATAAGCCCTCGCGTATGAAGGAAAACGTGTTAGTTGCTAAGTAATCAAAAGAGTCAACACTGAAGCCAAAAAATTTTAAAGATCATCGACATACCGAAAAAGTTTTCATCTTAAAATCTGCGAGTCGGTGACACAAGTTCTTGTCAAGTTCCGCCAAGAATAAATCGCTGAGAATCTGGGCAATACAGGAGCTAATGCATATTTTTTGCTTCAGTATGTAAGGCTGCCCTTCCCATAGGATAAAACTGGACCGTAGATAAAAATGAAAATTTTCTAAAAATTCCCTGTCTTTCATTCTGGTAATGTTCATGAAAGAATCAATTCTGAAGCGATCAATACGATCAACGCGAGAAAGCAGACTAGAGAGTGGCAGGGAACAGAACATATCTGCAGTGTCTACAGAAAAAGCACTAATGTACTTATGGGATGACGATCTGAGGTAATCCAGAACATCAGCGTTTTTAACAAGGAACGGATCGTCAACTGTTCACACGTTTCGCATTTTTTGGAGGAAGGAGGCAATACACTTTTGCCAGGTGCTGTTTTCCGACACAATGGCCCGGAAAGCTGCGCCTGTCTACCTAGCGTATTTTTACGCTAAAGAACACGTCAAGGCAATGGCTTTTACTAGCACCTGTATCTTTAAAGATACTGTCTAAACGAAGCCCTTTACAGAGCTTCATTGCTTTTCCTTTCGAAATCTCCGAATTTTTACATGGTTTAAAAACTTTCATGTCAGCATCAAGGGCTCTTGTGCTAAAGGCACCTCGAGTCAAAACTGCAAGACCACCTTCCTTGTCAGCAGAAAATATGCAGAGGTGGTTGTTTTTCAAAAAGGAAGCTACACGTTTTACGGATAGATACCTTTGATACAGGCGGCATATTCAACTTCAAGGCATCGACACCATCCAACACACAATACACCGCGCCCTGTCTCATCATGATGAGCGTGAGAAGTTTTGAAGCAATGCTCTTCTCTACAGTGAAGCTTGGCTCCGACGCAAGGGCGTGCTGTACATCCTGAAGGAACTTCCCAGTTGAAAGTAGTGAAGGTAGTAGTCGTCTAAGTTGCTGGAGCTGGAACTCCCACAAGGATTCAGTCATGCGGTCAATCTGCCTTGAACACTCTCGAAGTCGACTACCGATTATAGAATGATCCCCTGTGGTGCTCGCTTGTGCTACTAGAAGTTTTCTATGCAGACGGGCCAGACGACGCCATTCAGACTTTTGGATCTTGCATAAGCGAATTCCATGATTCGCAGAAGGCAAGAAACCCTCAAACAATGCTTTAACATCCTGCGGCAGAATCTTCTTCTGACACCGGGATTTGCAAACTGCAGCAGCAATGAACGCAATGCTTGCCGCTGGCTCCCGAGAAACACATAGAAAGGGTCCCGAGGAACACATAGAAAGGGTCCCGATGAAATAGAAATACCAATCAAGAAATACCAAATAGAAATACCAATCAAGAAGGGTATAAGGCAGGGGGACACGATCTCCCCAATGCTATTTACCGCGTGCTTACAGGAGGTTTACAGAAGCCTAGAATGGGAACACTTAGGCATAAGAGTTAATGGAGAGTAGCTTAGTAACCTGCGCTTCGCCAATGACATTGCATTGCTGAGTAACTCAGGCGACGAATTGCAACTCGTGATTACAGAGTTAGACAAGGAGAGCAGAAAGGTGGGTCTTAAAATTAATCTGCAGAAAACGAAAGTAATTTAAAACAACCTCAAAAGAGAGCAGCACTTCGAGATAAGTAATAGTCCACTTCAAGTTGTAAGAGACTTTGTCTACTTAGGGCAGGCAGGTAATAACTGCGGAGCCGAACCACGAGATCGAGAGCAGATTCGGCAAGCACTCTCAAATTATGACAGGTAGATTGCCACTATCCCTCAAGAGGAAGGTATATAACAGCTGTATCTTGCCGGTGCTTAGCTACGGAGCAGAAACCTGGAGACTTACGAAGAGGGTTCAGCTTAAATTGAGGACGACGCAGCGAGCAATGGAAAGAAAAATGGTAGGCGTAACCTTAAGAGACAAGAAGAGAGCAGAGTGGATTAGGGAACAAACGGGGGTTAAGGATATCATAGCTGAAATTAAGAAGAAAAAATGGAAATGGGCCGAGCATGTAGCGCGTAGAAAGGATAACCGCTGGTCATTAAGGGTAACTAACTGGATTCCCAGAGAAGGCAATCGGGTTAGGGGGAGACAGAAGGTTAGGTGGGCGGATGAGATTAAGAAGTCTGCGGGTATATACTGGCAGCAGCAAGCACAGGACCGAGTTGACTGGCGGAACATGGGAGAGGCCTTTGTCCTGCAGTGGACGTAGTCGGGCTGATGATAATGATGTGACAAAGGTTCCAGGGTGCATATAGGTTGTTGCGGGGCTTCAGCTAGGCAATGCTAGGCCGTTTGATTCTCAGCGCACAGAGGTTTGATTCACAGACAGTCAAAAGAGAGTTGTCCAAACTCGAGACAGAAAGTAGCGCTGAAGCCAAGCGTTCACACCTTTCATAGATATGCAGGCAGGTTGTCATTGGTGTAGGTCGCAACGCATCGCAACAAATCCTTCCAACAGCCGCCGTTGCCTTTCCCGTTCTCGAGAATTCTCTCATTCTGCGCACTAGAGGTCCTCGGCTGACTGCAGTAACTTTACAACCATTTATTGGGCCAACTTTTACCGTATTCATGTATAGCGGAATTTACCTTCTGGCATATACTAGTTATGATGACGATACTATTTTGGTAGGCCACACAGTGGCACATACCCATCAAGATGATGATGTGCTACACAACTTCGCAAATTAAAAAATGAAAATCGTCAGGTGCATAAATCAAGGTGGTTACAGGGAAATCATGCGATATTTTAGTGTCATGTGAATCAAGTCACAAACCGTGCGTACCTCATAATCTAGCAGGCAGACAGACAGATACATATGCAAATAATCGTCCAACACTTCGACGAAGAACACTTTCGAAAGTTCATGAGCCCTTTTGTCTTCGCACTATACAGTAAAAGCTTGTTAATTCAGATTTCACGGGACCGGAAAAACTGTCCGAATTAACCGAATGCCCAATTAATGAATGAACAGGGAAAACAACATTTGAAATCAAGCTGCAGAAGCATACCTTTATTTATTGAAGTATTTTGTGATTGTCGTCTGCGTTTCCGCGCAGATTCCGGCTGACATCACAATTTTTCTTACCTGTTCCAAATGGCCAACAGCACGCAAGCTGTCGGGAGTGTTCAGGCAAGCGTCCTCTAATATTAACAGCGCCTCCGAGACTTCCCGTGAGGTGCGATGAGGTCGCGGCTGTATCTCCTCGCATGATTATTCGTCGAAATCGTGGTCTTCATTTGCGCCCGTGACATCATTAATAATCTCTTGATCGGTCAGGAGACCACTCGTGGCGACACCATGATCAATCGCGATGTAGTCCTGAAAGGTCACATCCGTGGGAAGGACAGCATCGAAAGTCTGGCAGTCATTGTCGGTGGACTCGGCTGACACCTCCTCGATGCCATCGTCAGCTACTGCTGCATGCTCGGGCCTCACAAAACCGCTGTGCCAAAAACAGTTGGCGATGACTTGCGGCGGAGTGTTTTTCCACACGTGGGCGATGATGTGTACTGCGCCGAGTAAGTCCACTTGATAGAACTTTCCAGCTTCTGAGCATAGGATCATTCGCTCTAGCAGGTGCTTGCGGTACTTAGACTACACAGAGTGAATGATACCCTGGTCCATCGGCTGAAGAGCAGACGTAGTGTTGGGCGGCAAAAAAACTACTTTGATGCTCTTCAGTTCGACTGTACAGTTATGGGCACTGCGTTGTCAACAACCAAAATTATCTTGCGATCCTTCGACGTGAAGTGCCAGTCCAACTGCTGCAGCCAGCCGCGAAAAATGTCTGATGTCATCCATGCCTTCCTGTTCGCTGTGTACTCGACAGGAAGGCTTTTGACGTTCTTAAAACAACGTGGCTTAAGCGCCTTCCCAACGACAAGTAGTGGCAAGCGCTCCGTGCCAGTCCTATTTGCGGCAAGAAGCACACTTATCCTTTGCTTGCACTTCTTGCCACCAATGCACGCGTCCCCATTGAAAGTCACCGTCTTGTCGGGCAGAGCTCTGAAAAATAGAGCAGTTTCATCTGCATTAAACACGTCACGTGGTTCATATGCGGCGATGTGCTCCAGCAGCTTCACATTTCTCCACTCGGTGGTCACGCTTTCGTCAACACTGGCCTTTTCGCCGCACACACTCCTGAAGACAAGTTCGTGTCTCTCTCGAAACCTCGCAAACCACCCTTCTGACGCTTTGAACGATTCAATGTTCATCATTGCAACGTACTTCTCACCTTGCGCCATGATGAGAGGTCCGCTCAAAGGCAGATGCGCGTTGCGACAGTCAGTAATCCACCGGAGCAAAGCTTCTTCAAGTTGGGGATGAGCTGCGGTTCGCAACCGCTTTCTAGAGGCATGAAACTTCTCGCTTTCGAAGGCTTGTCGAATCTGTTGTTCATTTTTCCCGTACGTTCCCAACGTGCTCCTCTTCACGTTGTACTTGGTCATAACCTGCTGTCGCGATTCGCCATTCTTCAGTGCTTCCAAAATTTCCACTTTAGTCGCCATGTGCTTCGCGGCGTAGTTCTGTCGCTTTTTCGGCGTTGCCATCACTGTAGCACACGATGGTGGTGGCATGCAAATACAGTCACAATGGAAGAAAAAAAGAACTCCGCAAGAAGAGATGGTTCCGACACGACAACACAAGGGAAAATGGCGTCAAAGGCGCTGAGTGGAGAAGAAAGAAGACGCCGACGTTCGGTGACGCTGCCATCGCCTCCACTAGTTAATGATGATGGCGATGCCACTCAGGTTTCGCTTTCAGTCCAGTGTACCAGCGCTGCTTTATCACACTTTTGTGTAACAGCAGCCATCAGCATCTGTCTGAATTAAGCGGTTCGGAGCCGAATTCCGACGAAATAACGAAGGTTTGGTCCCATAGATTAACATGCACTTTGGCCGGGACCAATAGAGCCGTCCGAATTATCCGAATTAACGGGTGTCGAATTAACTGGCTTTTACTGTAACATAATGACTGTTCTATGAAAAAGAAAAAAAAAAAACTCGTGCTTGGCCGTTTTTTTACACGACCCAAAGTTCCAGGGCATGCATGGTGTCAGTTTTTCATGCTTTCATTTTTGCTTCAACAAACTTCAATTGTTAGACAGAGCTCGCACTGTGCCCTTGTCCAGTGCCTCTATTGAAGTCAGTACTAACGTATCTGCCATGTTTACACCGATTTTCGAAACGTGCATCACTTCCAAATTGCCAACCTTTTTGCTCTATATTAAACTTGATAGTTTTGCCTCGCTCAAAACGTCCACCCCTACAAAATTTCCGAGGAGAAGACAGCATCCCTCTGAAGAAAACATGTATCTAAAACTGTATGGCTTTTTGAAATGGCATAAATTGAAATGTCAAGTTAAGGCCCGACCTACCTGGAAGCACTGGCTGGGACGGCATGTGGCCGGGCGTCGACGTGACAACATGTGCCGAGGCAGCACTGCTGGGCCTTCTCCCAGACCGACCCGAGGACCGTCTCTTGATGGGGCTCATTCCCAGTTCCGGCATCCCTGGAGCTGGTTGCACAGACAGGGTGGCCGCCGCCGCTGGTTTTCCCTGCATCTGATGTCTGCTGCTGGTCCTTCTCTTTGCAGGCTGCACCCATGAAGCACCGTTAATAGTTCAAATATCCGGGTTTTTCATATCCAAAACCAAGGTATCATTGAGGGACGCTGTAGTGGAGGGCTCCGGAAATTTTGACCACCTGGCATTCATTGACGTGCGCTCGCATCGCCCAGTACGCGGGCCTCTAGCTTTTCACTTCCACAGAAATTCGACCGCCACGGCTGGGTTCGAACCTCTGATCCTCACGTCGGCAGCTAAGCACCGTAAACGCTACGTCACCATGGCAGACCGTTATCAGCTGAAATGTACGTGACAAGTGACTTGCAGGCGTGAATACAACCTTTGTCAAAAAACTTCCAGGGCAATGGTTTATTTCCACGTTTAAAACAGTAAAAACAAACAAACATTACTTGGTATGTGTTATTACTTGACTTGACTTTAGTTATGTTTCCGCGCTAACTATGTTGCAGGGCTGTGCTTCCCAACGCATTGTCTGGGTCATTGTCACGCGAGTTAAGGTCAGTCACACAATGAATCCCGATTGTGAGCAAAAAGTGGGCATTGTAGTCTGCATTAAAGGGACTGACTAATGACTTTTTTTAATCAACCCATTTTCAGTACGGCGCGACAGAAAGCTCACCCTTTGTAGTGCTCGTAGCTGCAGTAGTTAAAACAGCACATGGGCATTTTACAAGCAGTATTGATCTATTTTAAAGGCCCTAGACACAGATGTACTTTTCCTCCAGCTACGTTGACAATCGGTAGTGGCGCCACCGGCCCTTCTAGCAATTTGTGGAAGCTGTTGTCGTCCTGCTTTCGCAGGAGTTCCTGTGACTGTGCTTAACCACCTTTATTTTGAGATTTTCAACTATTTGTGAAAATAACAAGCTGTTACAATGAGATGATGTGGCATCGTACACCTTCCCTGTATCTGTACCGTGTTGCGTGTGCCTGCATCCAAGGTTCTCTGCGCACGAGTCTTGGGTAGCTTACCCCGACGTCGTTATTCTTTCGATACACGAGCCAAGATAAGTCATTGAAAACGTCAATACGCATTGTATGTGCAGTCATGCCGACTAGCAGTGCACGTCTTTTCCGAGACAAAGTGTTGGTATCTTAGCGACCTGGAAACTGCGCGCACAATTGCATGAGGACGCTGAAAAGTTGATCAAGATGTGTTGATGAGCATGGGATCATTACGTCATGTGAAGCCAGCACCACTTTAATTATAGCATAATATGAACTCAGACCTCCATGTAAATTTTTATGGAGCAATATCTTGTGACACAGGGAAACCAATACTATTTCAGTACTAACAAAATAATCTTCGACCGCGCACAGGATTCAACGGTCACGTGGACAGGTACATTGAATCGGTCGCGTATTTTCCACCATAGGCACTACAGATCGTTTTTCGCGACTTTCAATGAAGAAATAAAATGTAAATCAACCTCTAAAGAAAAAAAATGGGGTTGGTTTAAGTCAGTGCCACAAACAATTTTTCCATCAGCAGAGTCATCTCATTTAATGTTCATCAGTTCCTTTTTGCTTGAGAAAACCCTTGAGGTCCAGGCAAGAGAAATAAAAAAGCTATGTTTTTTTTTCTTTCTGCCAGTGAGAAGGCAACTGAAAGGAAAGCTTCATCAAAACATCGCAGACATCAAAAGAGCCGGCCCCGCCGCGGTGGTCTAGTGGCTAAGGTACTCGGCTGCTGACCCGCACGTCGCGGGTTCGAATCCCGGCTGCGGCGGCTGCATTTCCGATGGAGGCGGAAATGTTGTAGGCCCGTGTACTCAGATTTGGGTGCACGTTAAAGAACCCCAGGTGGTCGAAATTTCCGGAGCCCTCCACTACGGCGTCTCTCATAATCATATGGTGGTTTTGGGACGTTAAACCCCACATATCAATCAATCAAAGGAGCCGTGACAAAGGAGCACACCAGCAACACATTCAGATTTTCTTGCTTCTTTCCAAGACCTCAGGAAATATTCGCAATTGCGTATACCTAGATAGCCTTGGTGACTGCTTTGATGGAAGCTAGGATCAATACTTGGTATGTACAATTTTCTGTTTTTGTATGACCTTTGTGCTGGGACTTTCCTGACAACAGTTGGACATTGGTGCAAATGACTGTGCAAATGATTGTTAAAGTTGGCAGAAAACTACAAATTACTGACAGGCACCTACTTATGAACAAATCACAATGAGCAAGGTGGTTCAACATTTTCAACCTGCTGCATATTGGTCTATATTACAAACATAAATCAACTCAAGAAATATCATAATCGAAAACCCCTGGGTCGGCACACCTGAACTCCTGCGGTCTGGGAAATGTGTTTCATTCAACAGCAGGATAGGACACCTCATGACAGTAGATAGTTTTTATGCGTGTATGAACACAGAAAAACTTTTAAATAAATCAATCGCTAAAGGGTCCTCCTCAAAAGTGCAATAACACCAGTATGAAATAGTATCAAGGTGCCTTACATATGTATGATCACATCTGAACTTAATTCAAATGCCATAACAGTTTCACTAATGAAATATACAGAGTAGTCACAGGGACTTCGCGATATCCAAGCACCGAAATGTAGGACGATACGAGTACTAACAAGGTTAAACACAGTAGGAAAACACAAATCGTCATACTGCAGGCATATACAAAAACATCCTTAACAACTAGGCAAAGTTTAAAACTGGGAAAAAATACAGACCAGCATAGTAATAGAAGTTATATCATTCAAAGGTTGTTCATAATTAAATGGGAATGTTAAAAAATCGTTTGATTGTGTATTAGGCAGGCAAGTGCCTTTCACAAGCCTTGATGAAATGGTAACATAATACAAGATCGAGTGTAGAGAAATGCAATTACATATCCACAAAATGTTATACGACCAATCTACAATGTGGTACTGCAATGTCGCTGCTAGCAATGTCCAGTACCCTTCCTCCTCGTTTGAATGCTTGCGCTTCATTCACAACAATTCCCAGTACAGCTTCCTTCAACACGCCAAAAAGGCCTTGGCAAGTGCAGACATTCGATGCTTATAAAAGTAAAACTGAATACAGGAGAACCAACTCACAATACTTACAATACTTGCCTCGTTGGATATGGTGTTCTCAATGTCGCCAAGAATCTTCCTCTGAAGATTTCCTTTAAAGAAAAATTTGAATATGCACTTCAACAATAAAATACAGCACTCTGCTTCAACAAATTACATCAGCCTCAGGCTAATGAAGCTCATAGGAGCACTGATAATGCATGAATGGTGACAAAGTACAGTCACCGAATTTCGAGGCTATATGACAAACTTCTTTTGGGATTCCTCTGTATGCTAGGACACTCTACACAAATAGTCGGACACGGCATGCATTTAGAATATAGTTTCATTCGCTTCCAACGTGTAGCTAAACGCTCAATCTCAAGACCGAAGCCCATCGCAAGCGCCCCCAGATCAGATTTAGCTCTATAGGAAGGGCAACGAAAGTTGTAGCGACGTCAAAGCAGATCTGTCTTGAGCGCAGGCTTCCCCTTTAGGGGCGACAAAAGTTCGTCACAGCACACATCCTCTCTATTACGTCAACGTGTGGGGGCCGACTTCACATTCTGTACGACGACTGTACATTCTACAGGTAACACGCAGAACTCTAATTAAATTAGGCAAGTTCTCAATTACAGTGGCATGCCTATAGGAGGGTTGCACGTGACTTAATCCACTTGAGGCACTAGTGGCATTTGCCTCCACCGCTACGTCAGTGGTCTGGGCGCGCCCTTTTTGAAGCAGCAACCGGCAGCGAGAGGCTCTGAGCGTGCCGCTACGTACGGTACCAACGTGGTGAAATGTGAGTGAGTGCTTACGCGCGTGACTTCAGAGGTCCGGCAAAACTTCGCTACGAACATAAGGTTCATCTTTGCGGTGGATATCGACCCGTTAGACTTCAGCAGTGATGAAGCTGTGTGTGATGTGTAGTTATTCCCGCATTGTGCTCAAGGACATTAAGGACCACCTTGTTGACCGCACAAGCTACCACCTTGTTGCGGGCACAAGCTTCGCAACAAGCGACAAGCTTAAACCACATAAATCGATGAACATCCACAAATATGTGACTAGCGGATGAATCGAACAGCACCGAGTTAGAGACCTCGGAGACAGCCATCGCGTCGTCGTCGGAAAAGTGACTGGTTTCCCTTGCTCAGTGCTTGGACGAATAATTTTTGTCACCGCAGTGGTGCCGCTTCATGAATTCTTTGTGTGGAAGGGCTTCACCGTTTGCAAGAGCATGTTATGGGATACAATTGGCATAGTTCGTTCGTGGTTGAGTCCAAGCCACTTGGGATCAAAAATGATTCTTTTTTGCAGGGTCCAACGACGCGTGTCGAGCAGTTGTAACCCAGAGATCATATACGGTTTCCATTGTAACTGATCGACGTTAATTTGATATCACCGTTTATGTGCTTAGCTGACCATTCTCTCAAACAGTACGCAATGCAGTGCGCTCTCGTCAAAGCATGGGTAAACGAGAACACACTGCGGCATGCCCGCACTGCGTCGCTGACTATTTCTTAACACACCCAAATCAGTAACACCCCGCACCCACCTGAATGATACCGCAGATAAGCAGCTATCACGGACGTTGTGCGCACTCGTCTCCTGCTGCTTAAACAAAGCTTCATAGCACGTTGCGAAAACCAAAGATTTTCCCCACAAAAGCAAACCTCCATGATGTTGCATAGGTTCTGAAGACTTACCGGAAATGAAATGAATTAACGCACACACAGTATAGTGTGTGGCTGAGCCATCCAAACCTTTTTTGATTAGTTTACAATCCCTTTAGGTATGGAAAAAAAGCCGACATCACATGCATTCTCATGACCAGGTTTACTCGAATGGTTGTAGCAACTAAATACGGCACAGTTTACCATTATGACCCCAGGAATCTCGCACAGACACCCGTGAGTGTACGTTCTGCAACTGCTTGAGGGCGGCGGCCAGGAAAGAGACCACAAAGATAGATACGATGCCTTATTGACGCTGGCGCCATCTCGTGGGCCACGTCCATGTGCAACCCTCCTATACAACAAGGAAAGGCCCTTCAACCTTCAAGATACTCCCTCCAGCAAATCCCTCCAATGTTGAGGTTGCATGTGTACAATACAACTGGGAAGTAAGGATGCCTCTGTTATAAAGATTATTTGATTGCAAAAGCTTGACTGTACTTTGTGCAGACTACCGAGACCACAGAAAGAGCGAGTAAAACATGCACCCCCCCCCCCCTTTTTTATATACTTGCCGTATGTGTACAGCATGTGGATGTCATTGATGATGATTCGTTCTTAAACAAAGTACACAATGAGCCACAGAAGTTCAATGAAATGGTGCCTAAATAAATTCTTTTAATTTGTTAGACGATCATTGCAGCGTTTCGACACTCACAGGTTTTTGCAATTATATTTTGTGGTGTAATGTACACAAACGAAGTGTCAGGTGCAAATAATAACAATAACAATAATAATGATACTAATAATAAATGAATGAAAACCATTTGATTGCAGCTTCAAAACTCAAGACGAGTGTGTACAGTAGCAGTTCTGACGAAAAGCTCCCCGGACAACACAGCAAGTGCTACACTGCGCGCCTTTTCGTAGGCGCCGTCAATGAAACCTATATGACACAATTAACAAATGCGCGATGGGTCGCATTTGATAATTTGAAACATTTATAAACCACAGGGGAAAAAAAAATGCCCGTATAAACGAATGCAACTATTTGATTCGGAGACCATATCGAGCTTTTACATAACGAATCGAGCATTGTCTCGTTCGGTGCGAAGAACGAAGCAAGTACGGCAACATACGATACGTAATTCAAATGTCTCCAACATTCGTTGCGAAGCGAATCCTACAGCCTTCCTTGCCTGCGTCACTTAGGCTCTACGTAGAGAAACGGAAGAAGACTGCGGCTATAGAGTCAATTTCGAAGTGGGAGTTGCATTGCGGAATCAGCGTCGCAAAAAAAACGAATCGTTACCGTGTTGAGGTACGTGACTGAAATCGAGTTTCAACGCATCTTCGGTAGAGAACAGCAACTTACGGGACGAGTTTCCGGCCGAACCTAGCCTTGCAACAGGTGTGACCATTGCGACTCGGCTACGCAAAACGCAAGCGGTGGAGGTTAGACAAAAGGAACGCGATTAAAACAGCTGTCTGTGTTACACGCACCGAAGAAAAAGAAACTTTTTTTTCAAAAGAGTACGCGGCCACTTGCGCACACAGCCGCCATCTTGGCAGTTGACATCGGACGAAAAGTACGCAAAACTAGCAAATTCCAAAGCAAGACAGACTAACCAATGCGTGCGAGTGCTTTCGCTTTGGTTAGACGAGCTAAGCGAGCAGGTTTTGGAAGGAAACGAGAGCTCACCATGGTCACTTTTCCGCACGCGTCTCTGCCGTGGAAACATCGCGAAGTTTTAACAAAACGCGCGCTGCGCGCCCGAACGCGTTTTGCTACTCTCGATCACAGACGCTACCCTTGCACTATTACACTTAAACAAAAACTACGCTAAAATGTTGTTAGACTTCGTGTTAGATTTAATCATAATGTGCATGCAAAAGTACCTTGGTCATTCGTTGCTTTAAGTACGAGATGATTATTTGGTTGCTAGTCTTAAAGGTCATGTGATCATTTGTTAAGCCTCAAAACGCGCAATTCTCTGTCATTTTATGCAAAGCCTCCTAGATTTCCTGTGCCTGCCGAATGAGCGCGAAACGCCGGTCGACTATGGCGGCGCTGCCTACGTAGGAGTAAGGTTTTTGTACTTGGCCTTGGAGATTAGCAGTTTTGGCGTTTGGTACTAATTTTAGAGGATGCCTTGTAATTAAAAAAGCTGCTTGCTGAATGACAGCGTGACTTGCGTAGAGTTAATCAAAATTACGTTTACGCCTTTTTAAAACTTTCTAACGTTATTTTTGTTGCATATAAGCTCTGAAAACGTAAAAATTTATTTGAAGACACCGCTACTTGAGTGGCGCCACCACCATAGTTCCGACGACCGCCGCTTCCCAAGTGACCGCCGATAATCTGGCAGACACAGGAAATCCAGGAGGCGTCCTCTGGAAAGATGTCTGAGGAATGGCTCGCGCTCCCAGCAGAGTTGGCCTGTCTTCAGTTTTGAACTAGCTAAGCGTGTAAAAACAGTCAAGACCACGGATGTATTTTTGTAATTCAAAGTTTTACTTTAGAGTTAAGAGAATAAAACTCATAGCTTTTCAGTTCAACTGTTACCTCATTAGTCCGTAAAATGCACGTTTCTAGACTAGGTAAGTTGCAAAACTCCACGCGTCAGACTAGTCGTCAGTCACCAAGGCCACTCGTCACACGGCGCCGGGACAGCTTCTAGTTTGGTGGCACTAGCGTCGCAACAAGCTTCCGCTAGCAGACGAAAACGCTTAGTCGTGGCAAGACGCCGTGGCGGCCCTTCTGCAAGAGCTTTGCCAACAGTATATTACCGAGATTTGTTGTGCTGCCGCAGAAACTTAATACTGCGCAATATTTAGCGGTGTGAAGCAAATACAGTATAATTATGGTTTTCTGAACTGCCCACAATAAACAATGATTGATATATATATAGCATAACATGCGAGTCTGTCGATTAGTTGCTAGTTGGTGTACGTTCGCAATAGAGTTTTAGACGCGAAAAAACCCAAGTACAATGCCTTCCATCCTCTTTTGTGGCTGTGTTTTTCGTGCTTGAAAATAAATTACAACTATGTGGCGCAATCTCGTGGCTTTTGTCTGGTTATGTAGTCAACTTTTTTTTCTTCATGTCAGTCACATTCTTTAGCAACTTAGACCATCGAAAAGCTACGCGTGCGGTCATTTTCTTGAGCACGTCTTCCCTCTGCTTCTGTAGTTCCTCTAATGAAACCTGTTAACGCAGCTGCAGCCAAAACTTCGAGCAGAGACCGCACTTTGGGGTATCGGTTAGCACTTCGTAGTCATTACTCATGAGTATGCCTGCTGACGCACTGGGACAACATGAACACGCTTTCAGCTTTTCTATGTCCTTCAGAAGTTCAGCAAATCAGATGATGGTATCTGCATTGCTAGGCGACTTGGCCAAGCGATGGTGATGGCTGCTAATTGTGACTGTCATGTCTTCTGTGACTACAAGGCATTTCTCCAGAAATGACGCTCTTTTTTTTTTTGAGCCCTAGAAACACCCCAAGACGTCTTGTCTTGCCATTCTCAACAAATTTTTGCCAGCATGAAGCAGGCAAACAAACGTTTTCAATGTCTTGAAGCGAAATGACGCTACTAGTTGACGGCATGTCGGGACTTATTTCACTGTCTTCGAGCTCAGTGCTCTGAGATAGTCTATTCTTTTTCGCCGATGATATTCTGGAAAATACCCCCACTTCTATAGGGCAGCTTTCGCTTCTCTGCCGCGGGCCCCGCGACAAAGGTAAGCGGGAAAAGTAAGCGGGCAAATTCGGGAATATTCGTGGAACACATCCTTCCACGAGGTCCCACTTTCCTCTTGCGATTTGTACCTTTTTACCATATGACGTTCATGAAAGTCTTCAGGATGTCCTTCTCATGAAAGAGCATATCGCACACACGTGAGGCGCTGGGCAGTTTCTTATCCGTACGAGGAATAGCGTGGTCCCTTACCTCTCGCTGCTCAGGTACACGTGGACACAAAAGAAATGTCGCGGTGTCTCTCGTTTCCTGTAGCTACTCTACAGCTGGAAACGCAAGATCTGGGCATGATGAAAACACGCAACACATACAAAGCAGAACAGGGCGCGCTGAAGCACAAAACTGTTCACGCAGAAAAAAGCCTCTACAGGTATCAACACACTGCAACATGCACAGGCGATGGAGGTTACGGGAGTGACACGAGCAAGCATGCAGTAGTGAATCCGGATGCGACAGCAGCGCCACATTTGTCGCTAGCAGCGGCGGCACCGCGCAACATCGCCCAGTTTTGCAACTTACCTAGTTCTTTAAACGTTGGTGAAACTACGGTGCTCACTAAGTATCATGACCTACTACACTCCTGACCTGCCCAGAGAGCACCTCTTCCAGCGCCCACGTTCTAGTTCATACCTTCTGCCGCTAGGGCCGTCACCTACGAGCGGCGTGGCGCTAGGCAGCACCTGTTCGCTGACGTCACCTTCACTCTTTGTAGTCAAATTTTAACCAACAAAGCACTCGTAGTGCGAATTTATGATCCACAATTTAGAAATATCCAGAAATAATAATACTAAAAGACATTCAGAATTTTTTTTGCAATAAAATGCACGCGACAACGCATAGGCTGTCCAAAATCATGTAAATCCACGGGTTTCCACGTTTGTCAACCAGTGTGCTATAAATTCTTAAGCGCACTGAACAGCTTACTTGACCAGCAATGTATGGGAAGAAATAGTCACATATATGCCGACAGTTCACCACAGAAAGCAGGCATTCTTATACCAGCGCCTACAAAACAACCGTAAAGAAGCAGACGAACAGGTTATAGGTAGCGCCACCTACGGCGAGCGATTGAACGAGAGCGGGGACACGCGCTCCCATAGGAACCCCGCTATCTGAACAGGTCAGGAGTGTAGTAGGTCATGCTAAGTATTGCGGCTAGATAGCAATAGCCACCGCCCAGTCTAAAGAGTACAGCCATATTAATCCATTTATCCATACAAAAAAAGTTAATTTTTCATACATGTATGCATAATATCTACCATTTTGAACAATTTTTGATGCCAAAAAAAAGTTTCGAAACAAATCAATGTTTACGTTACTTAGGCAGCATAGTAAAGCTCTAGTAAAACTGATCATTTTCATAAAAACAATTTTCACAAAAATAAAATTATTTATTGATAGATTAATAATTATTAATGAAATAATTAATATATGATGCAACAATACGCAAGCGATTGTGGCATTTTAGGGGTTAAATTTTCGGGCTAAGCGCGTCAAAGGTTGTTTCAGCCGAGCCCCCCTCCCCTTTGCTTTCGGTTCCCACGATTTCCTCTAGCAGCCTCTCGCCACCGCTCGTACCCGTAGCAGCGGTGGCCTCCGCATCGGACGTGCGGCCAGCGAGAGCTTGCGAGGCTTTCGTCGCCGTCGCTGGCTGCATCGTCCGCATCTGTGGGTGAACGACGTCGTGCACACACCGGCCACGCTCTCCTTCCGATAGGAAACGGAGCATGTACTGAGACAGCAGCGGGCACGATAGACGCGAGCACAGATTCGGTCCGGCCAAAGAGGCAGCGCCGCGGGACCAAGATGGAGCCAGAACCTTCCCGTCGCGACCAATCTTTCACGGTGGAAAGCCTGCCGGTCGAGATCATGGACCACATTCTGGGCTACTTGTCTTACGACGAGATCAGTGTCTATCGAAGGGTGAGCTCATTCTCGTCTTGCCTCTCCCCCCCCCCCCCCGCTTTTTTTTTTTTTTTGCAACATTTTGTGCTAGAAGGCGGGGGTGCAAGTTAGTTTAAGCCACTGGAACACATTCCAGTGAGTGGCTTGAAACGCGTAGCCTACGTGGAGTGTTCTCGGGTGTCCCGTCATCGTGTTGCACATTGCGATGCATCGGATAGCCATTGTTCTTGCTACGAACTGCTCACGAAGAAACGCGATTCCTTCTGCGACGCTTTTTCGTCGCATATGCGTGATTGGAGAGTTTCGTCACTATGTAGACGTGAACAAATCTCGGCTCATTTGTAGTGTTTGCTTGCTGTTTTCTGTCGTGTGGACACGGCAGCCTGATTTGAGATAAGATCGCGGTCGGCCTAGGTCCCTGTGGTCTCTGGACATGCGCTAGAATGGAGATAGCAGCAGCAGCACCATGTGTCCAAGAGCCCTTGTGTAGAGGAACGCGCAGGCAAGAAAACACTCTCGTGGGCCAAAGAGCGCGTTTTTCATTAAGAATAGTGAAGCACACCCCTTTGAATGTCCCAGAGATCTGTTTTGACGATGCTCAGATTCAATTCCTTACGATTTTTTTTAATGTGTGGTGTTTCCCAGAAATAATCGAAAACAGTAGCCCTCCATCGTTGATCGTTTCTTCAATATCACCTGCAAATTTTCAAATTAGAAATGGTGCCTTCAAGCTCATGCTCCTTGGAGAGCTGAAGACTGAGTTCTCGACGCCATTCTCATAAATTTTCTATCCCCCCCCCCCCCTCCAAATTGATCTCCTCCAGGAGAGTTTGTTCAATGCTACGTGAGAAACCAAATGGCTAATAAGCTTGTTGAAATATGGCTGTCTAGTTGAGTGAAGCATATGCTAGGCCACGTGACCCTGTTAACTCTTGTAATGCTTCAAAACAAATTTTGTGCTATGGCATAGGCTGTATTGCTCGTGTGTTTAAGATGAAGCATAACGTTGGTGTCTACCGTTCTTCACATGAGAACGATCATAGAAGTTTTCTTTATAGCATCTTCGTTTCATCATAAAAAGCTGAAGGGGAGTTACAGGAATAACTATACAGCCGAGAGGAAGTGAAATCTCTTGCACGCGTGGTGCTATATGTTGTCTAAGTGAGTTGAGTTTGAAAGAGCAAAAGTGCCTTTACTGCCCTGATGGTCACATGAATGATTTTTGTCCAAATTGGAACTGTATGACTGTAGATTCCTTTCAGTATTCAACTATTTCTGTCAAATCTACGACAGTTACATAATGAGTGGCCAGCCAACATTCTCTGTGCAGTTGCGGACTTAAAACTGTCATTTATGCAATTTATTGACGCACAAGTTTTCATGAAGACAACCTCAAGTCACGGCCAATTTGGAGTTGCATGTTCGAGAAGTTAGGTTGAGGTTACTACAGATACAAATTGAGTGCGCAAGTCAGGCGGTCAAGCTACTGCGCAGTGCCTATCACGCAGTAGAATTGAAATGTAGCAGTCTTCATGTGGTGTTTGACAGCCTTGTCTGCATAGTCATTGCAGTTGTCTCAACAATACTCATTTTACCCACTCTGCAGACAGCTATGGTTGCAGTGACATGTGAGCTACCACCTTAGAATGATAGCAGACAGACGTGCTGCACTGCATGCTATGAAGTAAATACCTTCTGGCCCATAAACGTACATACTTCTTTGTAGCTTTCATTCGTCCATCTTGACCACCACACAAAGCATTTACATTACATAACAGTGGCAGTTTCAGATTCACAAGTTCCAAGTAAGAATCTATTGTCGGACAGTACTTTAGTACGCATTTTCGATGGAGGCGAAAATGCTGTAGGCCTGTGGGCTCAGATTTACGTGCACATTAAAGAACCGCAGGTGGTCAAAATTTCTGGAGCTCTCCACTACGGCATCTCTCATAATCATATGGTGGTTTGGGAATGTTAAACCTCACATATCAATCATATCAGTATTTAGTATGTGAGGAAAACAACAAATCGACAAACACATACATATTGTGGACAAAGTGCATCATATATATTGCTGATTTGCGTGGAATAGTGGCAACAGCCTCATTTTATATTTACACGGATATCCACATTCACAGGTATGAAACCTAGCATATAAAGTGATTTATGCTGTTTTAAAGGTAAACATCTTCAACAGAGATCTGTCTGGTGGACGAAAATTCATACGAATAAAATAACTCTCCAAGCACTTTTTGTAACCTTGATGACAGACAAGAGAAATTTGTGTGCATTGAAGGTCAGTGCCGTTTGCCTTGCGACCTGCTTACGAGAAGGAGCTCGACAAGCTGGAGCGACAAGGCATTATGGCGCCCACACAGCATTCAGACTGGGCCACACTTCTGGTTGCAAGGAGGAAGAAGAACGGAGGCCTACATCTTTGTGGGGACTACCAGTTCACCGTGAACTTGGCGACAAAATCGTCTTCGTACCCTCTGCCAACACTGCAGGAAGTTTTCAGTACACTACAGGGCAGAAAAATATTCAGCCCCCTGGACCTCATGCAGGCATATTAACAATTGAAGGTGAGCAGCAAAACTTCTGTGGAGCTCACACTTAACACAAGGGGACTGTACAGCCTTCTACCCTTTGGTGTAGCAGCAGCCTTGGCCATATTCCAAAGGTGCGTCGACTTATATGACATTATCATCAGTGGGGCACCAGCAAGGAACATGTTACTCGCCAGAACTGATACTCGAACAACCAGCGAGTGCAAACGTATGCCTGAGCATAGACAAAGGCAGTTGTCATCGATGCCCTGCGTTAGTATTCACAACTTTCAGGTTGCCCCACAAAGTTGTTTCAGACAACGTAACAGCTTTTGTGTCAGAAGAAATACAAATAATGTAGTGACAGCTGCATCACAATGATAACATCTGCTCCATACCACCCAGCTACAATCTGACAGGCTGTACGCTACGAGGGGGATCTAGAACGTGCTTTGGCAAAGGGCTACAGGGTCATTACAGCGGCGCATTGCACGCTTTCTTTTCAAACAACACACAACAGTGCACAATATAACAGGGCAGACAGCGACAAAGCTTACGTTTTCTCACAAGTTGTGAACACACATATCAGCCGTTCTGCCAGAACCATCTACAAAAGACACACGAGATAATGAAGACGCCCTGCATTGCCGGAAACTCCACAAAGGGCAACCAGGGCTCGCTCGCTAGTTTCAAAAGAAGCCCGAGTGGTCCCAGCCATTGTAAAAAGCAGGTTGGCCTGCAATCTTGGATAGTTGAACGGTACCATTTCTCGCGTTCTTCAGCACGGCCTGGCTATTGACAAACGAACAAAATGCCAGTGAACCAACACTTCCTGCTCATCTAGACAACACGGGACCTGCCCAGCGAAAGTCAACGAAGCTGCGACACCCTTCAGACCATTAACATGTGCGAAACTAGGGCGGATAAAGTTGCTATGTCTAACAGAGAACTGTAGACAGGAGTTAATTTTACACATGTGTGTAGACTGCATATTCCCACCTTACAGTCAGCGGCAAAGATGCACTTGGCTGGCCCCCTCTCTCTTTGTGTGCTGCCGGACTCTTGATACCGCGCGCAGGCCACCCGACCCTCAGCGCCTGCTCCTTAGTGACCCACTCCCCGTTTATGGCCCTCAGGGGACTCGACAGGCAGCGCTCCAACGGGCAACATTGCTTAGACCGTGCCGCACGCAAGTGCCTTCCTTTTGATAATACACCCCATTTTATGTTTTTATGCATGCTTCTTATTCCAGCTACCATAGACATAACATGTATAAAGCATGTTTATTTAATTGCTGTTTTTGTACGCATTTTACTCGCACAAAAGGTCCCTCCATCAGTGGTCAGTTTTCTTGTATATGTATACCTCTGCAGTTCTTTAATAACATCACGCAAGTGTTGACACCTGGACACAGTAGCATCTAATATATGCAAGAATTATTGAGGTTCGCTCAAATGCAGAGAGCATACTTGTGCACGAGCACCACTGTTGACATAAAGGTGCATGCGCACTGCCAGCCTTATCAACGTGATGATTTCTTTAAAAAGCCAGTGTGAGGCCAATCATTGTATCGCTGGTCTCATTGATTTTCAGTGATATTGGAGACTACCGTGTCCTGGGTTGGCACTCGTGCGATATTATTCATAAGGTGTGCAGCTGTGTGTGAAGCGCTAACCAGTGTCGGGCAAATGTCGTCCCACACAGGTGAGCCGCCACTTCAACAGCTGCTGCCAGAGGCTGTTGAACCAGGGATTCTTCCGGGCCGAGCGGTTCCACGCGCAGTGTCTCAAAGCCGTCAAGAAACAGCTTCCACGGCGAGAGTCCGAGCGCCGCACTCACCCACTCGCACGCCACTGCGAGATACTGACCAGCATCGAGACGCGTCTATCCCTACTCAGCATGACGTTCATGAAGTACATGGACATGAACTTGTGCTGCTTCATCCCTGGCAAGGTGAACCTTCCTGCCAAGCACCCTAGTACTTTCCCTCTCTGAAAGAATAAATGCGTGTTTAGCAAATTATACCTTGTTACACACAGGAAAAAGTAAAGCACTTTGACTGTAAACCTCTTTTGTCGCCAAAAGGGACCATTTACAGAAAGGAGTTGCCCTGATGACGCACGGCACCAGACACGGCAACTGCCGCTGCCAACGCGGTGCTAGTGACGTCATGTGGGCGTTTGAGAGTACTCCTTTCCGGACCGAAAAGTCGATGCGGGATTTCCTTTGCTGAAAAGGATCTTTGCCGGAATGGAGTTATTTGTTTGTCATGTGTCACTACGCCCAAACACCATTTTTGAAACATGTCCCCTGTCTAAAGGACTTCAGGGCACCCGTGTATCAGTTTTGCGAAAGTTGCTAGGTACCAAAAGGCAAGGGAAAACCGTAATCTGCCCATTTCCAGCATAATAAATCTGCTAAGAAACAAATAAGAAAGAGGTCTCGAAAACACAGCCTGTGAGCCACAATCTTTCGCCGGTGGCTCTGAAGGCAAGACTCAACACATGCGATTCTGAGCATAAGCCAGAACAGGGAGGGTGTATAAGTTACAACAAATGGGAAAAGGTAGATAAAAAATATATATAATATAGTGCGGAGAAGCAAAGTGTGGCTGTATATGCGTTATATTTAGCCTTTTCTTTCTTGCCCTTTCAAGAGTTAGCTGCTTGTTTCTATAGTGGGATAGAGATTGAGGCCTGGAAAGACTTGGCAGCAGAGGCCGATAAATACCGAATTACGCATGGGACACTCTACATGTTAAGTGACGTTCCAATAAGTTTCCGAATAGTCCACCGTGCTGGTGTTGCGTTTATGGCGCTCGGCTGCTGACATAAAGGCCATAGGTTCAGTCTCGACAGCGACACCTGCATTTTAAATGGAGGTGAAGTGCTATAGGCCAATGGGCTGTGTAACGTCAGTGCATGTTAAAAAACCCCAAATGGTCGAGATTTCTGGAGCCCTCCACTACGGCACCCCTCTTAATCGTATGATGGTTCTGGGACGTAAAACCCCGGATGTTAATTAGTTACAATAGAACCCCCTTGATTTGATTGATATGTGGGGTTTAACGTCCCAAAACCACCATATGATTATGAGAGACGCCGTAGTGGAGGGCTCCGGAAATTTCAACCACCTGGGGTTCTTTAACGTGCACCCAAATCTGAGTACACGGGCCTACAACATTTCCGCCTCCATCGGAAATGCAGCCGCCGCAGCCGGGATTCGAACCCGCGACCTGCGGGTCAGCAGCCGAGTATCTTAGCCACTAGACCACCGCGGCGGGGCAATAGAACCCCCTTATAAGAGACACTGATATAAGAGACAAATTGGGTATAAGAGACATCAGTGTGTCTACAATAAAATACAGGTTGATAAAAAAATGCTTATGAGGTACCCTGCTTATAAGAGGCATCCGATATAAAGACAATAATTGCTGCCCAGAGCATGCCTCTTATAGAGGGACTAAACTTTAAATGGGTTTCAGAATAAGGCAGCCTAAAAAAAAATTAAGCAGCCTGCATCATTCCATATCGGCATTTGCTAATTTCTGGCCATACAGAGTATAACTGCTGCATAACATCGCGATACCTAACCGTTGCTCATCTTGTGTTCCTCGCAACAGGTAATCGACGAGATCTTCAGGGTTTTGCGCCTGGTGAAAGGGGCCGGTCATGGGTGCACGACGACGCCTCCGCGTGCGCACGAGATCCTGCAGGAGTTGCGCGATATCTCGTCCATGGCCATGGAACACTTTGATGAGCGCATCGCTCCGGGGCTCAAGCTCCACGTGGGGCCCATGAAGCCCACCCTCAGTTTCATTGGTGCTGGGCACCATGGACCATGTGCTGTCACCGCAACAGTACCACGCAGCTCGGAGCTGGGTGAGCCACCAACCGTTTGGGCGGTGGCCACAGCAATTCTTCTTGACCAGTGTTTGGCATGGAAGTTGATAGAAATGCTACTCGCATAACCCTTTGCAACATGCATTATCATTGACTGGCTATATAAATACATGAATTGGGCCGGGGGGGATAGAAAGAAATGCGACCAGTGCTGTGTGAATTACTGTGAACGGCCAGTTTCCTAGCAGCCAGAGCCCGAAAAACTGTGGACAGCTGGGCTCCAGCATGAACTTTTAGTGCTTGAAGATGTCCTTGGAATCTGTGTATTTAGATATTTATTCATCCTAAGGGGGCCTGAACTACCTGCGATATATATATATTACATGTCATGTACACGTGTGCAGAGTTCTGTTTCAATCGGCAGTGTCAAGCACAAAATGAAATTGGAAAAAACATCTCGCACTCCTCTCCAGGCTTTTCAGTATCGCCTCAGTGTTGGCTGTGATGCCACCCCGAGAATCTGGTCACATCAGCAGCAGAAAGAACTTGTTAGTCGCCTACGCGCACTCCCTGCTTATCTTCCTTGTATGGCGAGGATAAATGCTCGGCAAGGAGGAGAGACGAGCCAACGAACAGAGCGTAGCGAGAGAAAGCTAAACAAGCAAAGGGCCACATATCGTTCATGAAATGCTTGTAATGCTATTATTGCGGCGATTTACGTTACTACAGCGAATTCGCACGTCTACGTAATTGTTATGGGTTCGTGCACATTTCCCACCTCTAGGTGGCTTAGAGGCTTTTTAATGTCAAATTATTGTGAAGTTTTTGAAATCGGCCCCACATCCCGAAAGTCGAACAGTAGAGACAACAGTGCATGCGAAGTTCCACCATTTCGAAATGTGTCATTGCATAGAGCAAACCTTGAATATAAGTAAACCATTTCCGCGGGTAGTGTTATGGTCCATTGTAACTAGGATCAACTACAGTAGAATCTGGATGATACGAATTCAAAGGGAGCGCGCAGAATATTCAGTATCAGTTCGAATTCGTGTGATCCAAAAACAACTTGAAACTGATAAAAATGATGAACTAAGAAGTTTATTGGCAACTACACCTTGCTGAAAAAAGTCTGTGATTTAGCTTTCCTGCCTTCACAGTCTCCTAATTAAGTGCCGTGGTTTCCTCGCTCATGCTGCTGGCGCAGTGCATTCACAGTTGACATCTGAGCGAGCGAAAGTGGCCAAACTCATCGGAAATTCACTTGCTTTCTCGCTTTAGCAGCCGGAAAACCGCGCCGCGAAGTCGACACGAAAAAATGAGTCTTGAAGAATTCGCATTTTCGAATTGAAGCGAGAATGCCAGCGCGGCCGGAAAACCACGTCCGCGCCTGCCAAAAAGCGTTCACATTGGTTCTGCCCCTCGTATACATGCCACCCGCGCCGCCGCCATCGCCACTTGAGAATTCATTCCGTTTTGCCCGTTTCCTGAGCACTGAAGTTCGTACCGAGTTATAATTATTCATACAAAGCACTGAAAAGAAACAGTTCACACCTTTACTAACGTTATTTCGGAAGACTAGCCAGCCGAAATGACACAAGCGGACACAGCAGCGGCGACGAATTCAGCCGGCAGTGCAAAAGCAAGACAAGTTTGGGCAAGCAGACTCGCGGCTGCTGCGCCTTCTTCTACTTCTGGTGTTATCAGCGATCGTAATCCAAACCAGGCTCTCGACGACCGCGTCCTTGTCAAGGTTGTGAGCTTTGATGTGCCGCTTAACTCTATGGCCATGCGGGTAGTTCGCGATAGCGCCGACACCATCTACCGCCGATGCCTTCGCTGCCATGTTGATTTGTGGCTGGTTCTGGTTGTTGACATCACGTGGTTTGAGAGATAGAGCGATAGAGCAGCCAATGAAGCCAAAGCCGTGAAGCAAAAAGGTGATACTATGCTATTGCGTGACGAAAAAATTGGTCTCGCACCGATTTTTTTCGCGCCGGCCTCGCAGCATGGCTGGGGAAACCATTCGTATAACACCGAATCACGGTGTATTTTATATAATATAGTCCATCCAAAACAACCTTAAAATTTCTATCATCGCGAAATTCGCATCAACCGCAATCGTATCATCGAGATTCTACTGCGCATTAGACCACGCTGGAGTCAGCGCTGTTGGTCGTTCAGCTTCCTTGCAAACCTACCCTCTCGACACGGCTCCCATCTTCTTGTCGCACAGAACTCCTGAAACATCTTTCCAACTCTTGCATCCTGCCTGGGTTCTGCTGGTCATCTCACTTTCCTCGCTGCCTTCGTCTGCCGTTGAAACAAGGTACTTGAATTAATTTGAGCCTCTTGACCGTCGTGTCATCGAGCTACAGTTCTTTAAGTTTATTTCTCATCGCACAGGCATCCTATTTTTATTCCTCCTTGAGTCTGTTTTCATTTTTTTTATTGCCCCTAAGACTTCCTTCTCACAGCACTATAACACACCTTGATATTTTCATTTACCTTTGCGCAGAACACTCATCTTTCATGGATTGCAGTGTTTAAGGAGTTTTTTTCTTTTTTTAAGCGGAGCTGGTTATGAGTTACAAATTACTATGATGGCAGCAGCATGTCCGGAAGACCCGATACTGGCAAGTGTAGAAAAATGTGGCTCTGAAAGGTGCGCCTTTCTCCAATCTCGAACAGTGGGCTCGTTGGCAGTCAGTTATATCTGATATGGCAATCTGATCATTTACCAGGGCCACTGGTCATTTCACGTGGTCATGTTCTCATTGCTGCCTGGATTCGGACGCGTGGCCGTCGTCGTTGCCTCTAGCAACCGAACTGTTGCTTCAGGTGGATGAAAGTCCTCTTCCCGGCATAGAGGAAGAAAAAGGTTAGGAAGGAACATTGCTCTATGACAGTAAGAAAAGTGGTAGGTTGGGCACGGACATGCCACGCTTCGCTTGCTCCGACTTTTTTGGTCGGGCCGAGGCTCCTGGAATTTTCTGTATATCACTCATGAGTTACCCTGTAAAGCACGAAGGCACTTGATGAGATGCCTTGTTAGCACCCCACAGGCCCCAAAATCTTTTTTTTTTTTTTGAAGACCCCGGTAGCCTCACTATCACACATGCTATGGGAATGTAAATCCCAATACCATCCCATTGAAGTTGAGACACTTTCATCGAGATGGCATGCCATACTGCGCAGCTCCCAACTCGACGACCAACTTTGGGCTACCTAGCAAGCCCACGAGGTGACAGAGAGGCAGGACCTCAACGTCCTCGCGCGGGAGGTCCAGGCCCAGCCAACTCAACAGCTGGTTTATTCCTCCTCTGCGGTCCCAAGTTGTTTTCAACTCCATTTGGGTCCTTCGGCGCTTTTCACTGACCTTGTTCTAAATGTTAACACTGTGACAGGCCCACGAAAGCTTTCGCCCCGTTAATTAAGGATGGACTCTTATTGGCGCTCCACACTTCAACTTGAGATCCGGTCTGGTCTGAAGGAGTCTGCAAGCCCGGTTTACACTTGTGTAACTGTTATATTCACCAGTCTGTCCTTCATTGCTAAAGTTTTCCAAATGGTGCACACATGAGAAATAAAATCTCTTGGCAATATACTTCTTTTGCATTTTTTTTTCAATATTCTTTCTTCAACAAACCTTGTCGGGGATGTCAGGTGTCGTCGGGACATCCCTGACATTAGACGTGCACGCAAAACCGGCTCCTTTTTGTACCCTACTGTGATGCAGAAAAAGAGAGAAAGAAAAAAAGTGCCGGGCACACCTTACGTTAGACGTCGCCGTGTGGCATGACATTCGGTGGGGTCACTCTACATGCTACTGTTCAAAAGAAAAATGTTTAACAGTGTTGGGATCTGCATAGTCGATGTTTGCGGTACACTTTCGCGTCACAAATGTGACAGTTGTTAGTTCCTGCTTGTCCTGTGTACGCCTCTGCGTTCTTTTGAGTGTCCTTTGTGCTTTAGCGGTGCGTTGCCAGTTTTGAACTGCTTGTAAATCTTCATGTGACATTCCAATTTCTTGCGGTCGCAGTCATGGCTTCAGCCTTGTGGTGAAACTGTAACAACTTTCTCGTTTTTTTTTTCTTTGCAAGTTTGGTATATGCGGGTTTGACTGCAGTTCCAGAAGCAGCAGCTTTGCGTTGCCAGTTCAACTCTGACTGCAACTTTCCCTCTTCTTGCTATTATCGCACTTTACAAACAGTTCGGAAAACTCGAGCAAAGAAACATGGAGGACTCACGAGCTCGCCTAATTAGGGGCACTGTGCACATTGCCTTCAATTGTGTGGCAAGGAAAGGAACATTTGTGCGTTGGCCGTTTCAAACTATCCTGGAATTAAACTTCGCTAGAACTGTTGCTTGGGCAAGTGGGTTCATGATTAAGGGGAGATGCGGGTCGAAAAACGCAAGTTTTCTTTTTTTTCGAAATTACAGATTTTTTATTTTCGCCTGTTTTGATAAGATTAGTACCTCTACTGTTATGTAAAAAATAATACAGGCCGAGACTTAACTGGAGATGCTTTAAAATTGCATCTAAAGAGCACAAGGTGCCTGTTAAAAGGTCCAAAGTGTGCAGTCTTCGAGCACCTTGCCGCCAATAATGCGCCGCCGCTCGCCATTGTTGATCGCATGAGTCGAAGAGTCGAGCCTCACTCTTCAAATACCAACAGTTTCTCTCGCTGATGCAGCGCAAGAAATAATAAAAAGAAGCACTCTTCTGCGCATTTTTCGAGCGCCGCGACTGGCCCATCACATGGTACGAATCGGAAACCGCCATTGGCCTCTGCGCGCCTGCGCTGGAAACCTATTTGTGGGGTCCATGTCTTGTCGAGCAGCGCAGCTGAACAATGCTTTTCTCGTGTAATTATCTCCGTTATGAATGAAAAAAGGCATTGCTCGCAAGTGAAAGTTGTTGTGCGGCGTGCTCTGTAGGAATAGGCTACGAGCAGCTGGTCCGATTTGCGGCAGTTGTTAGCTTGCAAAAGCCAATGCATCAAAAGTCATTCACACCCGTCAGCCGGAAAGTTCGTGATGCGGCAATGGATGATGTCAGCGCCAATCTTGAGAGGTCGGAAGAGCTCGCAGTGAGAGAACTTAGCAGGGACGACATTGCCATTATGTACGACGGTATGTGGCACAAACATGGCTACAAAATGGCATGACACCGGACTTAGTTTGGATTTCGCAGTCCTGCTGAACTTCTTCCTAGCTTGCAGTTGGCACAAGGCTCTGCCAGATGAAGCGAAGTTTGGCAAGCATTTCATGGCCGTCTATGAGCGAAATGTCTGTGAAGAGTCGGCTCGAAAAAGCTGGGAGGTACAAACTCATGGTGCTGGCGCATTTTAGTCGCAGTGGCCACTACAAGAAGGATCGTTCTTTTTGGTGTGCAAATTTCATCTGATTTAATGATATCTTTCATAAGTAAAAACTCAATTTTAACTTTAAAACTCGTTTTTCTCAAAACACAAATTTTGCCATTTTTTCCAATGTGCCCCTCCTTTTTCGGGCACTTCTAGTGCTCGGAACTGCATGAAATTTTGCGCAAGTTTTTCCGAAAGTATGAAAAATGCAATTATCTGGTTTAAATTTCAATATTTTATTGCATAATAAAAAATTGTATGTATACCTTTACTAGGGTAGGTAAAATATGGACTTTTACGTCTATTATTTTTCATGCATTTTACATATTTTGTATGTGCTTCCTAATTAGTTATTTGCACTCTACACTTTATTTGAAGTATTATGAACTATGAATGATAAAATATTACAGAAGTTTAGAGGTGAAAAGAGAGGGGGGGGGGGGGGGGGGCAAAAGGGTTAAGGTTTTCACTTTGTCATGTTGCAGAGCTAAATGTGTGTAACTTGCAAGAAAACTAATTATATATTTGAAATCGGCATAGAAAGCTCCATAAACAACTCAAGTTTCATAGTTCTGGGTGAATATTAAAAAAAAAGTGTCGTCGAGTAGCATCTCCTCTTAAGATAGATTTACCAGCACTTTGTGTGTGCTTGTGCTTCCTAAATGTTCTGTCTTTTCTAGCGCCGGTAAAACTATCTTTATTCTGAATTGCTTTCGGCAAGTAGGGTTGCAAAAGGCCCTACACCTTTTGCAAATCAGTGAAGTACTAACCCGCTACATGTCTGTAAAGGTGTCCTGTCACAGCTGCACCCTTTGTAATGGGTGGGCGGCTTTAAGTTACCCACACGTGCGATTGTGCCATGCAATATTGCACGCTTAAGGAGACCCCTATTAGTACACGACATTCTCGTAGCATTTTTTTTATCGGCCAGTTTCAAGAATTGCTGTGCCTCCCTGGTAGAACACCTCTGTTTGCCATGCCGAAAGCCTGGGTTCGAACGTTTTCTGGATAGAAAGTTTCTTACTATTTATTTATTTATTTGCATCCAGCTTGGGTTTTTGCCCATGGGCAACACCGATTTTTCTTTTTATCACAGTCAACACCGATACCACGATTCCTCTGAAACGAGCTCTTTAACATTATCGCGTCAATATACACCCCACCCACCTGAAGCCTTACTATTGCCAAGCTTTTGACTGACTTGCTTGGCAGGCTTCATCTGCCAATTGGGAAATGCTGCGAGTGCTTTCTTTCTTGGTCTGATCCTGCACGTGCACACAGTGACAAAATATTGGCCATGGCCAACATGACGCACCGCTGAGCTTCTCCATTGATCCTTTGCCCCTACGAAGCGGTGCCTTGCCCCTGCAGTGATGCAGTTTTGACCACACAGTCCGCATTTTCATTTTCCTGCCCTGACCTCTGCCGTTTTGTAGAGTCAGAGTCTGCCGAGAGCCTCCGAGTTGAAAAGCCATCTCGCTACTTTACTGCTAATGGAAAGGTTCATACCTGACCAGTGCCTTGTACTTTCGCAACACGCTTCCTCCCAGCGCTGCTATGGCACGTGAAGAAAGCCCGATTTGGTCGTTTGCTGCACTTTGACGACGTGTCGCCGACATCACATTACGTTGCTGAAGTAGGTGTAGTCGCGACAAAAGGCTTCCCCTGCTCCTCTCCGCTACGAGAAAAGAGTGGAAAGGGCGAGTAAGAAACTGAAACCAGTCATGTCTGATCATTCTAGACCTTGTAACTTTCTTATTACAGCACTTGTTCGCAAATGTTCTTGCAGCAGCATCTTCCCATGGTAAAAGTGCACAGTTATTTATTCATTAGAGATTTTGGACAGGGAGGCTGGTTACTGGCCCTTTAACTTCACCCCAAGAAAAACATCAATTGTGAATGCAAATACTTGTGTGACTGATCGTTGAAATAAATGCCCCATGCTTAGTGCTGTACTCTCCTCCAATGCAGGCCTTATTGGAAAAGGGGAGGGAACAGTCTGGCAGAATCTTGAAGACTAGGCTTTTCACATCGCACTTGAAGCTGTCTACCAGAGCACACTTTTGCATCGGACACTTCGCAAAATTCATTCACAAGGGGCACGATCTCGTACATTTTCCGCGACGGTATGGAAAGCAATGTCACGAATTGAGGGGAGGGGGGAGGGGCATGCAGCCAATAGGTGAAGGGGAAGTGCCACAGAAGGATGTTTAATGGTTTGAGTAGATACTGGAGACCACGTAAACAATTCATGTTTTCAACACACACAGGACTGTAGAATTACGGCTGAGTATCAAAACTTAATGCATTGTTTTTCAAAGCTTGAAATTAAGGAGTGCAGTGATTTTAACAAATTATTTGTGTTTATTTTTTTATTTAGCTCCAGGTGGTGTTCAGATTTCACGGGACATTCGCTGGTGGTCATTTTCACCAACTATTGTGTGGGATGAGGCCAGACACAAAGCAGGATCATTCACTTCTCCGGCTAGAACAGTTCCGCGTTGATCCTATCGAAGTCGTTCGGTGACCGTTCCATATTTATCCTAATGGACGGAACAGCGCCTCCGTCCGTTCTGGGCCCATTGCATGGTGTGCTAGAACATTCCAGCAGAGAACGTGTACAAGATTGCGCCCCAGAGGAATTCTACATTTTGTAACACTGCATATATTGTAAATGACCGTGTTGCCTCATAAACGCAAACGGCTGGTCTCCTCTCATTTTGTACAGCAGCTGCAACCTCCATCCTGGGGCGGGTGCAGAAGCCATGTGTGCATGCGGCAGCACACTCGAGTTTGACAGAGGAGCTGAAACAAGCGCGCGCAGCCAACTTGAGCCTTCGCAAGTCTCTGACCGAGTTGAAGTCCAAGGTGAGGAGAGACTGTACTCTCGGATAGTAGCTCTTAAGGCGTTCACTCGATTGTAAATTGATCACAGTTATAATGCGAGAGATCGCTATCCAGTCTGTTCACAACAAAAGCGAAAATCATAGTTCAAACGTGAAACCCTTCAGCAGCAGATTGTCACCTTTTCTCGAAACATCGCAGCCAGAAAATTAAACACCTTTTGAGCAGCGAGTGATGTCGCAGTGATGTCACAAAATTTGGCATCCTGTGGCGTCATATGAGGACACCATCGCCTAATGGCCGATTTCTCTCATCACATCGTGTTGATACCTTCACGGGCAACCAGTTTGAATAGGCATCTAGGGCCATTGCCTTAATAATCTGTCGCCTACTGTTTGCTGTTCATAACACTATTCAACACTCCTCTTTAAACCTTTCTGTACTCAATTTTTTTTCGCTGTCTAATTAGAACTTGAGATGTTTCAGTTCACTTCATAACATGTTCTCCGTTTCTGTATTTTCACTCAGTCATGGTACCTTTTTCTTTTTTTTTTGTGCTCTTCTTTGTCATTTTCAAATCTGTTATTGTTGCCATTTGTTTCACTTTCACTGTGCATTGTCGTTTGTCATGCTTGCATACTCTTCCTCCTGCTTGAGACATGTGGCCTGAGTACTTCTGCAAGTAAATAAATGAATGACCGATACTTTTGCCTATTGACTAATGTGTAGAGTCGTGCAAATGGTAAAATTTCGAGTGTGAATCAAATCGGATGGGATATTTGTCGAATACTGCGAAGCGGAACAGCAGAAAAAAAAATTTGAGAGGATTTCTAAGCATACTCATATGAGATAGCTACATGAAAGTGTCTCTTTTGGCTCCGTTGATGAGGCACTGGCAGGGTGGTGCTTCATAGTTGCTTATCAAGAATGAGGCGATGTATTTATGTATCGAATCGTACTTATGTGCATGCTTCCGTGTAATGAAAGTGTTGCCGACAACACTTTACACGTCAAAAGCAGACACAGTCTACGGCCTCTCCTTCTCATTTAACTTTTGCGGAGTCTGACTGATGTGGCGGACAAGGGTGTGCTCCTCTTGAGTCCAGAGCTCCATATCTATCTCGTAGGTGACGGTATATAAGAACATCTGAAGTTTTGGATGCTAAAAATCATTGGAGTTCAATTTTTTGGACTTCCTGCCCAAATTTCAGGTTCGAAATGACATTAATTTAGCCCCACCTCAATCATCTCCGTGTTTCAACCAGCTTTTTCTTCAGCCAATACATTCGATTATAGTAGAGCCTAAAAGACAGCTTTGCCGCAATATCTGTGTGATTGTGTGAAGCACATTGAAAATCTGAAGGGGCCACTCACTGCCAACAGGACGAAATCTGCCTTTTCCATTTTCCTGGGCTGCCTTCTGCCGTATTGGTAGGGATTTCGTAGGGACTGGGAGAAACGGTATTGCTAGAACAAAAGCCTCTAAAACGAGGAACGCTAGAGAAGGGTGCATCCGCCGTGGCATCGTGAAAAAGGCGGATTGTCTTCAAGAAGTTCGAATTGCGAAATTCTAGTGCGAATCGAATTTAACAGCATGCACTATTAGAAAAAAAATATTTGAAATTTTGAATATTCAGATATATTTTTACTATTACCCAGAACGATCATATTCAAGTGTGTACTCATGCTGTTCTTTTGTTTTGTTATGTTGCTTCACCGAAGTACAGATCGTACAGGAGTCAGGGCCTCAGCCAGATGCAGGCCAGTGCCTTTAGTCCTGACCCTATTGGTTTTCTGTTAAAAAAATAAGTAAAAGAAAACTGACAAACATTTTGAATAGAAAAAAAAAAAGGGAGGACAAAGAATAAATGAATGGACTTAGTCGATATTTGTTTTGTCCTCCACCTCGCAGCTGACCGCGCAATCTAAAAAGCTGTGCGATCAGGAGAAACGGATGCATGACCAGGCACAGCTGATTGCGGAACATGGTAGCCGTCTCGCCGAGCAAGACCGCAAGCTGCTGGAGCAGCACCGTGAGTTCGCCGACGTGCTGGAGGAAGTTAGTCGCCTCCGAGAGCAGGTGGCGAGCAGTTCTTCGAGTGGCGGAGACGGCGAACTCAACCAGTCCGACGGAGCGGACGCGCTTCAAAAGATGACGCGACCTCGATGCGGCAGAAAGGGTAATAACGCCACTAGGGATACCACCGCTCCTAGCAGCAAGCGTCGGAATGGACACGTTGCCTTACCGGACGTGGAACCTAGTCGGAAGCGCCACTGCAAAGATAAGGCTACAGTGGAGGTAGAAAGGCCGCGACGGACGGGAATGGCAACACGCAGGAGGCCGGAGAAATAGTTGAATGGTCCGTGGTCCTATCAGCGTAGATAGCCGAACGTAGTGCTGAGCTTTTTTTCAGCACAGAAAACGAGGCTAGCCACTTTTGCCCACTGCATGCTAGTGTTGATTGGCATGCTGTTGACTCGGCGCTCCAAAGTGTGGTATGATGTCGTGTGACGACAGTGTCTTAGATGTCAGGCCAGCCACACTGAGCTGCATGCTTGTTCGTGAAAGTAATCAGAGCAGGGCACTGTCTGTCGAAAAATTTACTGCTCAAGAGAGCACAGGGTGGATGACAGGAAAACAGCCTGCCACCTTTTGTAAGAAACGTCTTTGTAACTGCTTCATGCGCAGTTGCTCTATTGACATTATTATAGCATAGCCACATGTGTACTTGTTGGCTCGTTCTTCTTCTAAGCATTTGAGCCAATAAGTGTACCATTATAAGAAACCAGTTGTTGTGCTTGATCTGAAAAGTAGATTTGATAATGGTAGGATGTGCACAACTAATCTAATCCACAAATACCATGGTTTCAAGCCTAGCGAAGTAAATTTGCGAATAACTGTGTGGTGTAGCAAGTGTGTGGCTGGGAATAAGGTATGTAAGCTACGACTGAAGACTCACATTACATACTAGCCCACATTGATAGTTAACAACTAGCCCTCCATTTTTTATCCTGAGGGGGTTGCATGTTACGAATTTTGTGAAGAGCAAGGCCAGTTGGCAAAAATTTTTGGGTTGTAAAAGATAACGTCGGGAGCTGCATTTTTTCTTTTGCTTGCTGAATAAGCTCTGTACGCTATTTTTTAATTACTGCGAATATACGTAGGCATGTGTTCCTGACCACCTTGCCATGTACACATCTCCCCTCAAGCATATATGTTTGCGTGCGTAGCATCCTTTTTATACTGTCCTTCTTTGTGTTGCTTTCTTTTTTGGTTCCTTTTGGAGCGAAGCCACAACAGTGTGGAGGTTAACGAACCTTCAATGAAGGGTCCCTGTTGTGACCTTGTTCAGTACTGTACTCAGTGTTAACGGTTTGTCTAGTATTTAAACTGTTGGACATTTAAGAGCACTGAAAATGTTGTCCGAAGGAGTTCCTACTACCATTGTTTCTGCGAAAGTGTAGAATTTGGCTTCACAGTGCTCGAGTGTGGTCAATGTGTTTTTCACGGTAACCATTACATCCGAAATAGATCACCAGATGTTTACTGTAATCGGCAACCATGCAACACAGCATTAACACAGCATTCTGTGTGGTGCAGTTATCATATGGTGTAGCAGATAGTCAAGGCACCCCGCAATCGTCCATTGCTGCAATTCTTGTGCATCTAAACTCTAATGCAACAAATGCAGGTATACAGAAACTTACTCCACGGGAGCGCCTTGGCAAAAATTCAGCGCGCGCTTTTGTAATGACATGGTCGGCTTTCTCATGTCAATATCTGTTCATATGACCGAGATTTAGCTGTAGGCCCAGATTATGTTTCAGGTAGCTTCTGTGCATAGGAATCATCCTCGGCTTTTCCTCTAATTTTTATGCATGCTGCTGAAAGCTACAACTACCTCCTGCATTGTTGCGAAGAAAGTCCCTGACAAGATGCTGTGAATGGGATTACGCTCATACTGGCATTGGCTAGTGTTTCTGTGCAAAAATTCATTTTTGCATTGTTTTTAAGTGAGCGATCACTTTAGACAGCGCATAAGTGTAAATTCCATTTGTCTTGCATTTGAAGGTGTGTTTTTTTGGCCACTTTGCACGAAAGAAAGCAGGACGAAAGAAGGAGTACACATGGTTGAGCGCAATCCAACGACTGCTTTATTGTTGAAAGTGCATCTGCTCAAGTACCCAACACCACAAGTGCGATCTTGTTAAAGAGACACATCATTCGCACGTATAACAGTCACGTGCAATTATAATGTTCGGACCAATGTGCCTGCGGCTATAGAATATGTCGCATGCACATCTAGCAAACAATGTGGACACGCTAACCTGAGATGTTGTAATCACAGGTTATTGTTATACACGCGAGTGATTTTTTTTTTCTACTCGATGGCTCAGATTATGTTGGGTACTTGAGCAGGTGCATTTTGAAAAATAAACCAGTCCTTAGATTGCACTTGTCCATGTCTATTCCTTCATATGCCCTTGTTTACTTCGCGCTTAGCGGCTAAAAGATGAATATGTTCCGACTAGGACGGCTAGCAGTTCTGCTTCAATGTATTTGTGTCTGAACAGTATGGAACTGCATATTTCAAATGTTCTCCTCTCCCCACCCTTTCTTGTTTATTTGCTACTATATGTAGCCTTGTAGCAGAACATCTTTCAGTCGCGCCATTTTTTTTTTGCTTCTGTCCTTGGTTCTGCGCTGTTTCTAAATAAAATGGTAAAGTTACCCGATGTACCCATTGTGGTGGAGTGTCGACTTTTTGCGTAGTTGTGGAAGCGTGCCTGTGCTTTCCAGAGTTATATGATCAGATGCTGCTGATAAAGGCAGGAGAGGCCCCACGTAGGTGACCGAAGCGCAGCAGCCTGTTGCCTGCGTCACTCTAGAAGTAGTCACCCTTGTGTACACTCATATCTCATTATAACGAAGTTGCATCTTACAAGAAAATGTTTGTTATATCCAAAAATTAGTTACAAAATTTATTCCTAGCACTGTATTTATTGCAAGACTGTTTCTCATTTACTTTGTTACAACCGAAATTTTTTTGAGTCCATGTTTGCTATACTGAGGTTTGAGTGTGCTTGACGATGTCTTCCGACAGCAAGGTCATTGACCATACACTTTAAGAACGCTGACTAGAGGGTGCGCCGATTGGTGCAAGCTTGTCGGCATCCTCCCGATAAATGAAAATGCCTTCTCAAGTTGTACCCAACTATAACTCTGGGAGAGATATCACTTAGTAATACCGGAATACGAGATGATGCATAACCATCAGTAAAGGAAAGATGGACAGAAAAAGGTGTCATTAGTAAAGGGGGAAAGGAATGCAGCATCAGCTTTCAGAGACGCGTAGCTTGGCCATACTTTTTAATAGAAATCGGAAGACAAAGATGTGTAACCATAAAAGCACGGGTCAAAATAAAAAAACAGAACAGTATGTCATTAGAAAAAATGGAAAGTAAGGTAAGGGCCCACTATAAAAGAGAGATAATGTAGTAATACTTGTAACTGGTCTATCTAGTACATGTTTACTGGAATGAAAGACTCATAACTGCCATAGAGTTTTCTAATATACACTAGAGGAAACTCTGGCGCTAGTGTCTACAGGAGCTGCAACGCACCGCGCTTCGGCGAGCATGGGAATGGTGGGTAGTACACACAGTTGTCTAATACTCTTACTTCTGGCCTGCTTTTGGCTCCGTGTGTGTTCGTGTGGCTTGGAGTCGATTTTTTACGAAACAAATATTTGCAAATGTTCAGCGGTTGCGCTTCACCATCTTATTCTTTTAGACTTACCTTTCCAAATCGGGTCACAAAGTTCAAAAGGGTTGAAACTTTCTTTCAAAACAAAATCGAAACAGCAATAAACGAAGCCATAAGTACGATTTGCCATCTGCAAGTACGAAGACTAGGCAAATGTGTGTACTACCCATCATTACCATGGTCGCTGAACAATCGCAGCGCCAGAGTGCCCTCTAGTTAATTTTAGGAAACTCTATGGTAACTACCAAGGAAGGACAGAAAAGGGTGAACAGAACGGAGGGCCTACTGTAGAAGAAATGTAACTTCCAAAATACCTAGGACTAGTTGGTTTTTAATGATTGTATTTAAATTCTGCAGCTGGCATATGAAGCCTGTAATAAGTACCTCTGACAGAAAGCGTTACCATTGGATGATAAATGTGTTAGCGTTGAATGTACTGAAAGGGAATTGGTGCAGAATTATCAACAGAGTGATTTCTTATCAGCATATTAGAGGTAGATACGAATTGAGTGTGTGTAAATATGACAGTCTGTGTACCTTTACCACCTAATTTCAGCTGTGTTCACGGAGCACTCCAACGTAAGGGAAATAAAGAAGCTGAGAGTGCTGCTGTAAAATATTTCAAGTGTGATGTTTAACATGGTCTCAAGATGCCAACATGCATCATGGCGTTCTTCATTACAGCTTTCTTATTTACAGTTGCTTTTACGTGTTGATTGAGCCGAATTTTTTGAGTCGATGCCAATCATGCAACTAGACCAGTAAAATTGGTCAGCTGCTTCAAAGTGAAACATATTGCAGAAGCAGCACTTATGCTCAAACGACAGTCCCCATATTTTTAATTACGAGACATGCTTCAAAATAGCTTCTTTTTCAATTTGCACGATAATAACAGAAAGTTAGCTGTGCGATATCCCACAACCGCAGCGGCACGATCCTTTCTTTCCCCGATGGAGATCTTGAAAGATGCCACCCTTGTTCTCAAGTGGGAGGAAGCTGCTTTATCATGCTATCGCTTCTACTGCACAGTGACGAGAAGCCCAATCAGGCACCGGCTCAAATCAGCCAATGGGCTTTTGAAAGTTGGCGTCCAATTTGGAGACCATTAGCAGATAAATTTGCTGCTGCTTCGCTGAATTCGGAGGCTTCTGTCTGTCCTGTGGTACAAGTGCGTTAACAAACGACCACCACTCAACCCATGATCAATTGCCTCAATCTTTCTCTGCAGAAGCAGTGAAAGTTTGTTATAACTAGTTCAGTTATAACTAAATTTAGTTATAACTAATCTGGCCGCGGTGTTCGATGTTCTGGCTCGCCTGCAGGCTACAAGTTTGTTTTGCCAACTTTACCAAAGGATGAAACAATGAAACCATGTGTTTTTCTAAAAGCATTGTGATGTCGAAGGAGGATCCTACAGTATTGGGGATTTCTGAGCACCACTGGAAAAGCTGGGTGTCATCAAAGCGGTAAGTGGCATTGGGCCTTACCAGATGAGTCACTTTTCGATGCTCAAGCTACGTACTTCAGAAGCGAAAAACATGCTTTTGAGCACTAGTGTGATTCATGTGAAAGGCCGCTATTGTGCGATGATTGACCCTGTGAAGCAGGAGATAGCTGTGAAGGTGCTCTGGGTAGCTTTCGACGTGCCTAACAAGGCTACCTAAAAGGTTTTGAGCGAGTATGGTGACCTGAAAGAATTCAAGCTAGAGGAGTGGAGCGTACCAGGATTTGAACAGGCTGAATGACAACCTGCGTCGCTCATATGACCCTTCCTGAGGGTATCACTGCAGACGAGTTGCCGCACCTTTTCAAATTGCGAGGTGGAGCAGTTTTGGTTGTGGTGCCCGGCAGAGCACCCACCTGTATACGCTGTCGAATGAAAGGGCATATCTGATGTGATTGCAGAACGCCGCGGTGTACCATAAGCCGCGCGTTCGGTCACTGTCACACACTTCGGCTGAAGCCCCGCCGATCCAACATTGACGTGCGGCAGACTCGCAGGCTTCCACTTTACGCTTCGGCCTGCGATGCCTGAAAGGCCTCGAAGTGGTACATTTCAAATTTATTTGCAGGTTGGTCGACCAGTGCGGGGTTGCACGTGTGGTGATGTGTGGGCTTGACCGACGCACTCATAGAATAGACACGGAGATTTGATTATACACAAACAAGTATTTCATTGAAACAAGGGCAAAGACAGGACTTAACAAAAATAACAGAGAGGAATAACACTGATGCGCGATGGAAAGAACAGCTATGTAACAAACTATGTTCTGAACGAACACTACAAGAGGTACAAAAAAACACAAATATGTGAAATGTTAATAAACTAACGACATGATAGAAATCAAAGGAGATACAAAAAATATTACATGAAAAAGATTAGGGTCGCGCTTTTAAATTTCTACGTGCAACGCAGTGCACACAATTATACAAATATTAAAAAAAAGGCTGGTTATAATTATTTAACAGTTAAAAAAAGTCACAATAAAAAGTTCCATACCAGGCCAGCTCTTGATGCACGTAGGGGAGTTGACGGGGTGTCGCTGAAGATCTCGCCGGCTTGGTAGACGACGAGGGTGCCCGGAATCGCAGCCGTCTCAATAGGTTGCGCGGGTCACTCCATGCTCACTGCCTACGCGAGACTCGCGACAACGACCGCACTTCTTGCTGGCTGTACGTCAACTGCCTATTCCGATGCAGTCCAAACCTTTTCAGGGGCGTATGCATGCTCCCGTCCTATTTAGAGGTAATTTTCTTTCTCTAGACCGCCCGTGCCCTTTTCGGTACAGGTGCAGGGAAGACGAGCCGGCACCATGCTGGGTCGTTAGTCGCAGGATGTCGCCCCCCCCCCCCAACACAAAAGCGCCCTTCCTTGGAAGATGGGGCCCGCGAACGATTCTAAAATTGGAGTCGTTTGTGACAGTTACGAACGGCAAGATTGTGTACGCACCTATGCTACAGTGATTTTACCATTCCAGCGACTATAGACGGCGCAACACGAGACGGTGATCTCGCAAGCATGCACGTCTGCGTCGCAGAGCGTGAAAACGCAATCATAGGTTCATGACTAACTGAGAGACCCAATTGCGTCGCAAATCATCACCATGCGACAGCTTCGGAGCACGGCTGCATGGCACCACCTGCGTCGCTGGAATGACCGAATAGGCGCCATGCCATACCGACATGATTTTCATGACTTAATGGATGAAGTAGAAGCGGAAGAGCTGGCTTCATCATCAACCAAAAAAATTACCAAAGCAAGCCAGGGTAGCAGCTGTGCAGCAGGAATGCTAACGGTGCCGCAGGAGGCCTAAAACCGGTGCCCAACAAAGGAGAGCGCTAAACCTAAAGCTGATGTGCCTTCGGATGGATTCTCGGAGACGCGTTTGTCGCTGCTTCAGCGAGCAGCGCATCGAGGCGCATCAGTCAAGAACAACGATAACGCAGAGGTGGGAGGCACTACGTCAACAGAAGCGCCTGAACAGAAAAAAGACATGGATCAGAGCAAAGAGGGCAGCTGTGGAGGAAATCATGGCGCTTATGCAAAACGGATGTGGACCCAGCACTTGTGAAGAGATGTCGTGAAGAAGATACGAACGCGAGGAGCGACCGCTTTACTGCGAATGGAAGAAGGCAACTGGCAAGAAGGGGAAGTACGTTTCCCGCACCCGAGCAGCATCGCCAACTCACGGCATGCTCTGGCGAGGGAAGAATACTGCCTGTCAGCGTCGCCGGTATGCGCTAGGCTCCCGGCGTCATTTCAAAACACAAATGGGAGTTCCTAATCAATCCATTCGTGTGGCCACTCTGAATGTTCGAGGATTATGGGCTAGATGCAGGCAGTATAAGCTAAAGTGTCTGGCGCTTGATCTGGACTTAGATGTGCTCGCGGTTCAGGAAAGAAAGGTTGTGAGTGAGAGTAATACCGACAGAATGCTTGCTCCTTTCTGTGCCTACTACAATGTGTGCGTGAG